GCTCTGCTTAGTTTGAAACTAGATGGCGTTGTGTGTGAGATGTCTGTTTTTTTATTTTTATTAAACGATGTGTCCAGCACCGCCCATGGACACTGCAACTCAAGAGTCACAATTGCGTACGTCTCTTTGAACCTTCCCCCCCTTGTTGAATCAGGGGAATTGAGCGGGTAACCTCCATTGGTACTGAAACATGGCCCGAATATCAAAAACATATACAACTTGACTACAAAGTGGGACACATTGCACACAGGGCCAGCTCTTTGTGTGATCCATAAACTGTTGTTCTGAGTCTGGGTGTTCTTTGTAACCGTCTTCCAGGTCATCTGATGGAAAGCGAGTACCGCCGCAAAAAAAAGCTTTCAACTCAGGAGTCACAAGCGCGTTCCCGGCCTTTGAGGAAAAATAAATGTTTGTAAATTCCCGCTACACACAATATGTTACCAGTTACAAGGGTCTCTTAAAGAAAGAGCGAAAAAAAAAGCGTTATTTTTTTACCTATCCTATTTATTTTCTGTATCAAAACATATTATAAAATAGATATACGCTATGAACTAGCGTGTCTTCTGTTAAAATCACAGATAACAAGACCACGAACCTTTTCGAGTTCATCATCAGCCTATCGCAGTCCACTGCTGGACATAGGCCTCTCCCATTGCATTCCACTTAGATCGATTTTGGGCTTCTCGCATCCAGCTTTTAGAGTTACTTCAGTCTTTTCCTCGTTTTCCTATCATAGACTTAATGCCTGCCTTAATCCAACTATCCCGTATGAAAACCATAACATCCCCAAGTTGGGTAGACTTCAGGTTATCAAAGAAACGTGCTGAAACTTTACAATAATGCAGGTAAGTAAATTTGAGAGAAGGTAAAAAAAATATAGTTTTTGTATCAAAATAATAACGTTATGATAATCGCTAATCGCAAGTTCAAATAATACTAACATCATCATCGTCATCAACAGCCTATAATAGTCAACTGCTGGACATAGACCTCTCCTTAGAACGGAGGTTTTGGCCTACTATGCCACGCTGGCCAGACGGGTTGGTGTAGAGTTTGTTTCAAGGTTTCCTTCTCTTTGCAGTGCTGTTGTCCTGCGTAGTTTAATCCCTTATTCGGCTCTTACGACACCCACGGGATGAATAGGGGTGGTGTCACTCCGTATTCTTAATCCGTCACCACACAGTCTTATACAATACTAACAAAGAGTACTGAAAATTACAAATATAATTGAAAAAACCAAAAGACGTGCGACACTCAAAATAACAGGTAACATTATAATAGTAATAAATATTCGTACATTCCAAACAAAAAGGTATTATTATAAGAAATAAAACTTCGTCGTTCGTCGACGTCACTTCGAATTCGACTGCACGGATGGCGTAGTGGTAATAAGCGGTCGCCACGCCGCTTTCTACTACGCTGAGTGTTGTGGGTCCGATCCCCACATGGGACGACACTTTGTGTGATCCAAAAATTGTTGTTTTGAGTCTGGGTGTTCTTTGTGTCCGTTTCATGTATGTTTGTAAAGTCCCCCGCGACACAAAGGTATATTCCTAATGCGGAAGTTGTAAATTGTTTTTCTTTTCTTTTATTATTTTTAAAATTGAATTCCAAAGCTGTCCCATTTTCATGAACATCCATCCCTACTTCAATACTTCATCATCCCTACTTTCATTAATAGTCCACTGCGGGACATAAGCCTCACCTTAGATAGGAGGTTTTGGCCTTCTATACCACGCTGGCCAGACGGGTTGGTATAGGGTTTGTTTCAAGTTTTCCTTCTCTTTGCAGTGCTGTTGTCCTGACTAGTTCCATACTTATATTTCATACATGCAAAAGTGAGTTTTGCTTGTTTGTTTGTTACGCTTTAATGCCTAAACCACTGAACCGATTTTAAAAATTCTTTCACAAATCGAAAGCTATTATTCTCAGCTAGCATAGGCTACTTTTTACTACGATAACCAACATCCACGCAAGCGGAACCGCAGGCAAAAGCCAATATTGTATAAATGACGGACTATGGCCAAAAGGTTCATGTATGGAATTGCTCAATTCAAAATTTTGACTTCAATAGCAGCTATTGAAGTCAAAAGTTTAAGCTGCTTCTGTCTACATTATAACAGATAGATAGAAATCTCTACTAACTACTTGCGTAATAAACATAAAAACACGTCAGATTTGTAATATATACAGAGGGTTATTGCTATGAGCAGTCTCTTCGAGAATTATTGATTTATTTACCCAGAAAATCTCATTACTTAGACATGATGAGATAACGAACTAAGTTTTAAGCTACATAATTGAATAAAATGTAAACAATTTAAAGATATTATTCAAGTTTGGAAATTAAATAACATGGTGTACATTGGCCTAACAATACTCGGAGATTTTATTGGCAGAAATATTTTTGAAGTGAAAACTTCTTTAGCGGCGATGTACACTTTTTTTGTAATGGGTAAAAAAAATGTTAAACTCGCGTCAGGACACGTGACCCTGATCGAAAATTCGTAAGACGGATGGAGAGTAGACAGACGGCGCGGCGTAGGAGAAGAAGTATCCCCCTCTCTTTCTACGGCGCGGTGAAAATGTATGCCTGCGCCTGCTGCTTCGTTTAGGCGGCGCAGGGCGCTTGCGCGAATGTTCGTTTTTCTGAGAGATAAACTTTTTAATGTAATATAAATTGTCATGTTTGTGTACGATAGCGCAATAAATAAATATTGTATTCTACCACATAAATGATAGTACTTTTATACTGATAATTAAAGCAATTCGTGCAAAATTATTCCCTAACCATTCCAAAATATCAAAAATGCACAACGTTAATATTCAAGTTTTCACTTCTGCCGGCACTCCCGGAATGCAACCCGTCGTTTTTTTATTGATGTAACTGTACTAAGGAAAACATCTATTATAGCTGCCAGTTTTTTACAATTATTTTAAGGGCGCCTTATGAACATGATCCTAGAATAGCTCGTTTCACTTGGATTAAGATAGAGAATAAATCTTTTTTACGACAAAGGCCGTGAGTGTGTTTGCCCTTTCTTCTCATAAGGCTCAACCCTTTGGAAACGGTTGTAGATCAGTACAGGCATATAATGGATTATTTGACGGGTTTGTTGGTCTATAGTTAAACCGCCGTAAGCTTGGCCCTCTTGATGGTTTGGGGGACGAGGGGCGGGGGTGCATTCAACCAATTAGCTAGTGCGTCTCTGTCCGCCGGCAGTGACTGACGTGAAAGCATGGCTGTACGTGTTATTTTTCTTAAGACTGCTACGCTACACACGGTATTATTTTGCAACATGGATAATCTGCCGACTCTGCGTCACAAAAAGATTTTAAAACTTGAAGTTCGGCTTACAGAGGTTCTACTGTTAAAGTTCTAATAAATAATATTTATTATTTTACTTAATTTTTAAATTGTATCTGAATATAATTTACATGATGAAGATAAGGTGATTTTATTAAAATTATTTCACAGTATTAAATTTTACAATTAATCATAAAACTTACAATACACTGACATTATAATACATGGAAATAAATTAGATTTTTATTACATCGTGTGTAGATTAAATCTCAAACAAATAAATCTGAAGATATCGAGTTAGTACATCGTGTCATGTATAGCCGAGCGCATCACCCGCCCCGCGTCCCGCAAACCATCAGGAGGGCCAAGCTTACGGCGGTTTAACTAGGGTTCCATTCCCACCCAGAACAATAAATAATTATGTGATGAGCACGATGTGTGTTATCAGCAGTCTGGTTACCATTTTTTTACGTGTGGGATGTCCTCCCACCGGGATTTGCGGCGGGGCGGTGTGTCGGCATCGGACCGACTAAAACCACACGGTGTGCCACTCTGCGCCTGTTATATGAGAGATCCGGGAACCGCTATTATTAAGATATCCGGACCCCTCCTAGCGCCTGCCCGCAACAGCGCGGGCACCACCTTCGGGTACATTCTCTATTTAAGGGAAAGTCCGGCACACGCGGACGTCGCCTCCTCGCGGCTGGCCGTTATGGCAGATGGAGTCTAAAACCCGTCCCGTCCACCCGCGGCCACACTCAAGGCGGCATGAGGCGGTGGTAAGCGCGCCTTCGCCGCCCGGTTCGCCAACGACGAATTGGGTCCGAGTGGAGGTTGTCCTCCCGGGCCCTCTCCGCCGCCTCGTCTAGGCGTTCCGCTCAATTTATAATAACCTTAGTACTTAAATTACTACTACACACAAAAAAGCTGTTAATATTGTGTGTGTTGATCTATGACTTTAAAGTCTAAGAGGATTGCAAACATTAAAAAAATAATTAAATAAAGATATTTTGAGATTGAGTTCGACATTGCCGCTCTTGTCAACGAGGTACTTTATGAGAAATACTACGCAGAAGTGAATGGGCGTTGTGAATAATTTCATAAAGCAAAATATAATCCCGTGTGGTGACGGATTAAGAATACAAAGTGTCACCCCTATTCATCCCGTGGGTGTCGTAGGAGCCGACTAAGGGAGCAAACTACGCAATACAACAGCACTGCAAAGAGAAGCCTATTTCCAGCAGTGGACTATTAAAGGCTTTTGATGATGATGATAAAATACATACTATGTTGTACTTTAGATAAAGTAGACACATAACAAATCATCGTGATCATCACACAATAATTTAACCTGGATGAGGTTTAAGACCTCGGGAAGGAACCATTGTTCAGGTTAGTGATCCTAGCTGTTGACAGCCAGGATCACTAACCTGAACAATGGTTCCTTCAAATTTATGATTATAGCAGAATTTTTCAAAACCACTCTCAACCCTAAAACGTTTAATGACATAAAAATAAAAACATATAAAAAAATAACTATATTCGATACCAAAACATAAAATTTAATTCATCAATAAACAATATTATTGTTGAAATCCAATTTTTATTAATTATTAAGTCGATCCAAATTGTATTTTTCGTCTGATCCAAATATCTGGCTGCGTTTCATCATCCTCGTTTGGCTTGCCAAGATCTAGTAGCAGGGAGATTGCTGCGAGCATGGGCATTCACAGGGGGGTGGTTGGGGGCAAGGGTTGGGCTGAGAACTTGGGCAGGGGCATGGCGAAGGTTGTGGTAGAGACAATGAACCAGGGGTGTACACTGTCGCAGGGCCTGTGCATGGTGGGCAGGGCCTAGCTAAGCAGATGGACGGCGGGCTGATTGAAGGTTGGCCCTGTTCACCGAAGCAGACCGTGCTGCCATCACAGGTTGTGTAACACCGCCATGGTGCTGCGGCCGCGTAACTGATGAGTGCTGGAAATTATACGTGTGTTTTATTTTCTGTTGGTTACTTTCATACTACCCTGAGCTGCTTCAGATATTGTTTACGTGGGAGAGCCATATGAGACGACTTGACCAGAGTAAAATCGTGGGCTCAAACTCTCCTATTTACCATCAGATATTTGCTCTTTTGACAGTCATAGCATAAAAAAGACACTCTCCAATCAATCACCAAAACAATATCCTTTTTCTACTATTGCTTTCACCTAATTTACGGTTTAAATATCACTTTATTTCTTAAGAGTTTACAAATCATTTACAAAGGGAAATGAAATAAAAATCACAAAAGATAAAAGTAAACGTCGACAGGTGGATAATTTCGAACTGATGTTAAGGGTTCACTTATAGGATCACTTTGTTGTCGGTCTGTCCGTCTGTTTGTTTTCAAGACCCTTTATCTCTAATATTATTTGGTATTAGTCCTGGGTGTGTAGTCCTGGGTGTGTGAATTTTATTGATTTAAATTTTCCTTATTAAAATAGACGTGTTGTAATGATAAATTTGGGAAATATTTATAGATATAATTTTCCCATCATTTCATTTAATTTTCCCATTTAATCTCTAAAGTACCCGATTCACAGCATTAGGTTTTCCCTTTATTATCTAAACGGGACTTAAATTATAGACAGCAAAATGTGCCTGTCTAATACGTCCCTGTCTACCCCTTCATGATTATAGGTGTGAGTATATATATGTCTGAATGTAGAGTTCACTTACCAAGAACCAATAGTGCCTTCAAAGCCATTGCGTTGACAGTAACTTAAACTTGGAACATCTAAGCTTTTATAGTTCCAATTCTGTTTATGAACGCTCCAATGATAGTGTTATATCAAAGGAAATTGATTTGAATTGGAACTTTATTTAATCTGAAATTACATTCTTACCGGCTAAAACTCGCTAAGTCCATCTACAAAGATAAAATTAATTGTCTTGACTTTTTTTCTTTTTATTCTTTTATAAAGAGACAACTCCCGCATTAGGAATATATCCTGTGTCGCGGGGGACTTTACAAACATACATGAAACGGACACAAAGAACACCCAGACTCAGAACAACAATTTGTGGATCAAACAAAGTGTCAGTGGGGTTTGAACCCACAATACTCGGCGTAGTAGGAAGCGGCGTGGCGACCGCTTAAACCACTACGCCATCCGTGCAGTCAGATCGACTGATTCATCAACACAGATCCTAAAGGGATAGAACCAAAAAAATGTTTTTTTTGTACCTAAAGCTTTTTATGTTGTAAGCACCCCTAACGGGGCACAATAAGGGATAAACGGTTGTATGGAATATCAGCAACTTTAAAGTTACAAACACGAAATAATCACGCGAGTGAAGCCGTAGGCAGTAACTAGTCTGGAGATAAATTTCCAACGTTTTACATTATCAATGTTTCTTATAATGCCCAACATATTGATTAAATATACCATAAAGAGTCGTAAGAGATATCTTGATGAGTTTTGTTGACGATATATGAGTCATAGGTAGAATTAGACTGGTTACTTTCGGCGGAGTGGTGTTGGCGGTGTCCTTGGACATCGCCAACGCCTTCAATAGTCTGCCATTCAGCTGCATCAGGGAAGCGCTCCGCTACCACGGAGTGCCGGAGTACCTGAGACGGCTGGTGGCAGACTATCTTGAGGAGCGAACCGTCATGTACGAGGACCGAGATGTAATCTGCTACGCAAATGACACCTTACTCACGGCCCGGGGGGCTAACTTCCAGGAGGCGGCGCGCCTGGCCGCCACGGGAGTTTCCCAGGTGGTCGGGCGCATTGAGGCGTTGGGATTACGGGTGGCCCTGGATAAGACGGAGGCCCTATTATTTCATGGGCCCCGTCGTGGTCCGCCGGCCGGCGTCTCAATCGTGGTCAACTCGGTCCTCGTACCGGTTCGGGCCCAGATGAAATATCTGGGCCTGATCCACTGGTGCACCGGTGTGGGTGGCGGCTCTGACCGCCCCGAATAGGGCGCGCCTCTGGCGCCCCCAGAGGATATTGGCGGTCAGAGCCATACGCGGATACCGCACGGTGTCCACCGAGGCGGCTTGCGCCTTGGCCGGAACACCCCCGTGGGATTTGGAGGCGGGGGTGCTCGCTGAAGTTTATCGGCGAGTGGCTGACTTCCGGGCGGAGAGCGGATTTCGCCCTCCACAGTCTCGACAGGGAATCGAGTCCCGCCTGCCACCACTGCGACTGCAGTGAGGATTCGGCCCAGCACACGCTGGCGGTTTGCCCCGCATGGGCGACGCAGCGCCGGGCCCTCACTGCAGTCATCGGAGCAGATCTCTCGCTACCGGCCGTAATTCGCTCCATGGCCGGTAGCGACAGTTGTTTTACCGCGGTCGCAACCTTCTGCGAGGAGGTAATCTCGCAGAAGGAGGCGGCGGAGAAGGCCCGGGAGGACGACCTCCACTCGGACCCGATGACGTACCAGCGCCTCATGCCGCCCTGAGTGTGGCCGCAGGTGGACGGGATGGGTTCTCCCCTCCACCCACATTAGCTTGGCCAGCCGCGAGGGGGCGGCGTCCGCGTGTGCCGGACGTCGCCTGAAAAGAGAGGTCCTGGAGACGGAGCCCGCACCAGGAGCGGGCCGGCGCTGGGAGGGGTCCAGAAGGCGATAACTACCTGGACCCCTCCTAAACTAGAAGCGCAAAGAGGGCACACCGTGTGGTTTTAGTCGGTTCGAGTCCGACACACCGCCCCGCCGAACGAGAGCCCCGGCGGGGTGACGGTCCGAGGGGATTCCCACACGTAAAAAAAAAAAAAATAGACTGGTTACTTTATGGAAAGTGACTATCGTCAACTGACACCAATGGGTAGCTCTTGGATAATTGGCGCTTCACTTTACTTTTTGCATCGCACACCAATCCGTGGAACAAATTATCGTCTGCGGTATTTCCGGACCGATAAAACCTTCAAACCTTCAAGAAAAGAGCGTACTTATTTCGGAACGTACTTATTTCTTAAAAGGCCGGCAACGCGTTTGTGACTCAGTGTGAGTTGCAAACGTTTATTGGTGGGGATAGCCACTTTCTAGCAGGTAACCCGTCTGCTCGTCTAACCCCTCTAACATAAAAAAAACACCACATCCTCACATAAAACCAGTGTTAAATAATTCTTTCGCTGCTCTTCACCGAGTAAAAGAGGTTACCGGTGAACCAACCACCTTCCTTCTCTTCTTAGATCCTTATCCTAGTATTGCCTAAGACCGGTTTTCATATATTACGACAATAGGGAATATGCATGTATTTTTTTTATTTTTTTTAACGATTCTACTAGTTATTAGATTACCAAAAATAAATATAACACATCCGAAATATAAACCGTTAAGCAAAAAAAATATTATTGAAATCACTATCATTTTGGGGCAATTTGAACATGTCCATTTTAGCGCGCTTTTTTTGTGACGTCAGATTACACTTTCAGACGAATTCGATGTCAACAAAGGAGTGAAGTTCACAAAGTTTCTAAAAGTTCAAAAAGTGAGTGTTAAAAATTAACTTATTACCATGGAAAGCCAATAAAAACTTATTTTAAATATTGTGCCGTTCCTTTGTGCCCAAATAATATCAAAACTGCACCTGACAAAGTATATTCAGTCATTGTGTTGAGTCTTTCTACACGGGAATTTAATAATTTAACACTGAAAACGTATTAGTTATTAACTTAAAATGAAACAAATAATCACCAGAAACCAAATATTACATATACACACAACTTGTTGACACTCTTGACAGTGTAGGTTGACGTCACGTTTTATTCAACCAACAGCGTTGCGTTTTAGAAATTTGCGAGGGAATCTTAAAAAAAGCCAATTTTTTATGATTAAATTTCACTATTAAATCATAATAAATTTCAAAAATAATTGTATGGGTATCTTTTTTTAGCAATAAAAATTACAAATAAAAATATTTTGTCCATTTTGGTGTCACGTGCATATTCCCTATTAATCTTTGATTACGTACTTAAGGTCGTAGAGAGGCTTTCTTAAGAAAAACACTTGACATCTTTATTAAACGAATGACACACCAATCATTAAAGTTGACGAGATTAATTTTATTTAATTATCTCTAGTAATATGGAGACGTGAAAAAAAAGACTTTATACCAGAGGTTTTAAAGTTTGTTTTAGGATTTAAGATAAACTTTCTTAGTTCCTGTAACCTTAAACAAAAGACATTCAGAGATATGGCGACCATAACCTTTTAACTACAATATATAAAACTACATGCTTCGATTAACGTTGATTGTGGCCAGGCATTTGACAGTTTTAATGTCCCACTAATTAAAATAACTAACATCTGTTGGTACTAAAAGAGTAAGTAAAATGTGTCAAGACACACATATTTAAGTGATAAAAAATAAATTACGTTAGTAATAAAATCAGTGATGCTGTGCAACTACTTTAAACAGGTGTACCTCAAGGCTCTGTGCTAGGGCCGTAATTTTCTTCTTATAATTTTTTAAATTTATTTATTGTGGCCAGGTACCAGGTGGGGTGACGATTTGCGCAAGACGGCTGGCAGGAGCTGAATGTGAGAAGCCTAAAATGTAAGTGGCGTGCAATGGAAGAGGCCTATGTCCAGCAGTGGACTGCGATGGGCTGATGATGATGATGATTTATTGTTTATCTCAGTCATAATTGCCCATAAGGATGCTACATGGATTCAATGAAATTATATGAACTAAAATTAATATGCAAACACTTCAAATTAATTTCTCAGCAGATAAACACAGCGGAACATAACGCATTAGATTACTACACGACTATAATCGAGTCACTGTGACTGTCACCACCCCTATTCATCCCGTGGGTGTCGTAAGAGCCGACTAAGGGAGTAAACTACGCAGGACAACAGCACTGCAGAGAGAAGGAAAACTTGACACAAACCCTGTACCAACCCGTCTGGCCAGCGTGGTATAGTAGGCCAAAACCTCCTTTCTAAGGAGAGGCTTATGTCCAGCAGTGGACTGTTATAGGCTGTTGATGTGATGTGATAATCGAGTCAGGAGAGATATTGAGAGTCCTCATTCGTTTAAGGCCAAAGTGAGAGCTCTGCCACACAAAGATGCTACATCATCATTGGATTCACATCACATCAACAGCCTTTAATAGTCCACTGCTGGACATAGGCCTCTCCTTAGAAAGAAGGTTTTAGCCTACTATACCACGCTGGCCAGGCGGGTTGGTATAGGGTTTGTGTCAAGTTTTCCGTCTTTTTGCAGTGCTAGTGTCCTGCGTTGTTTTGCGCCCTTAGTCAGTTCTTACGACACCCACGGGATGAATTGGGGTAGTGACATTCCGTATTCTTAATCCGTCACTACACGGACATCATTGGATTAATACCTAATATATTTTACGAATTCTGTAAATATATGTTTGTATGTATGTATATATATATGTGTACGTCATCATCAACAGCCTTTACTAGTCCACTGCTGGACATAGGCCTCTCCTTAGAAAGGAGGTTTTGGCCTACTATACCACGCTGGCCAGACGGGTTGGTATAGGGTTTGTGTCAAGTTTTCCTTCTCTTCTCATATGTATGTTTGTAAGAAAGTTCTAATAATAATAATAATAAATCTCTTTATTGTACACCAGGTATAAATATATAAAGATTAACTTAAGCTAGGTTAGATAGGTACAAATAGCGGCCTTATCGCTGAGAGGCAATCTCTTACAGGCAACCTTGGTATGGAGAGAAAAACATAAAGGCAAGGAGGTGTAGGGTAGTGGCTGGTGTACTAAGAAAATACGAGTAGATTAGAAGAGGAATCAATGTAGCATCTATATAAATATAAAAAAAAGTGATAATTACAAAATAGTAACTGGTAGGACTAGGTCTAATACTCGTAATATCCAAAACTTTTTCTACCCGCATTTTTTTTCGTATATCCTTTTGTGTGTGTTATGTATTTCTTGGTTAAGTCTTGTTATTGAGTTTAGTGCACCCAATCACTCATCTCTACACCCCCCCCCAAGGTAGACTGGTAGAGAATGCCTACGGTATTAAGTCCACCTTTGTACATTTTTTTGGGCATAAAGTATTAAGTAAAAAAAAATATTTGGAGAGCCCGTAAAATACTGTAGCTCTGTTCTCAGCAGTTCCATGCCAGTCGCACTACACGCTAATATTTGAATGATGAAATTTAAGTTCTGTGTGTGTGCTAGACAACTAAGAAAGTTTTTATTGTTGTTTAGTTAGGTAAGAGTTCTCGGACTTTTCGCAATAGCCGTTTTGAGTTATAGCTATGTGATCACGTCAGACGGAAGCCGTCGGATGCAGCCAGCATAGGACCGGTTGTTGTGGAGAGCTTTGGGAGAGGCCTATGCCCAGCAGTGTACGTTTTTTGGCTGAGATGATGATGACCAGGTCAGCTGCTCGAACTCTTGCTTGCATTCCCCGATCTATTCGTAAAAGCAATTAACCATATCTTCCGTTTTCGTCTATTATTCCTATAATACCCAATTCATCCCGTGGGTGTCGTAAGAGCCGACTAAGGGACAACTAAGCAGGACAACAGCACTGTAAAGAGAAGGAAAACTTGAAACAAACCCTATACCAACCCGTCTGGCCAGCGTGGTATAGTAGGCCAAAACCTCCTTTCTAAGGAGAGGCTTATGTCCAGCAGTGGACTAGTATAGGCTGTTGATGAGATGATGATATTCCTATAACTTTTTCCACCGTATCCCTAAAGTGTCATTAAGAGTTAACAGCAATAGGCCTGCTCCCTTTTACATAAATAGGACACGCTTCTGCTTATCCCTACGAAGATATCGGCGTTGTTTATTTTTTTTTTTTTATTTATTTAGTATCGATATCGGGTATGTATGTTCACTTTCTTCAACTAAAAGGAGGCAAAATTAAAAGAAATTCGACGATGTAATGCATATGTTTATACTGTCGTGGTATATTTTGTGTCCATTAATTGTGTGATTACAAAACGATCTCCACACAGACTCAAAATGTTATTAAATAACTCACTTACATACCCACATTCTTGTGTAAAAATAAGTATTAAAATTTGAAAATTATAATTAAAAACAGATAAAATTATAATCATATTATTTAATTAACACACCAAGCTTGGACGCACCATTGAGCATAGTTTTAAAAATAATTTATTAAAACAATCTATGCTTTATTGGCAGCCATTATACCGCGAATTATTCAATGGTTTGTAAATAACAAATATGGCGGCCTTAATATAAAAAGGCGCGAATTTGTGTGAATTTTACACAAAGTTGTCGACCATGGGGCGAATAACGGCATTGGGTATAATAGGTAAAGATTTCTTTCAATTGTTTTAACCTTACAAAACCATTACTATTATTAAACATTAATTTGAGCGGTACTCGTCATTAATGGATGACATTTAAATGTCAAAATTTGACATATGTCATTTGATTGTGCTTCATTTCTTAATTATTTTAAAATGTATGATTTGAAAACTAATCATAGACAGGAATGAAATGAAATTTTAGAAATGGCTGCTATTATTTGACTATATTTTTGTTTATTTTAAGGAAACTCTGTAGATATTTTGTAGGTTATAACTTTAATTTATTATGCAGTCGGCCTTAGCTGGTTGCACTTATAATGAACTTAAGTCAATTTCAGAGTTCCACGGCAAGTTGTGGTAGGATATTAAAACCAACAACAAAAAACAATCAAAGAAAATTATTTAAATAAGTACACTGCTATTTGTATATATTATATGGATCGCTTAGGTTAGTTAGTTTAGGGCGCGATTGAGTTCGTTTTTAACCGACTTCAAAAAGAAGTAGGTTATCAATTCGGATATATACAAAACTCCGCCATATATAGACGGATTCTTTTATTGTTCATCATCATCAGCCTATCGCAGTCCACTGCTGGACATAGGCCTCTCCCATTGCACGCCACTTAGATCGATTTTGGGCTTCTCGCATCCAGCTCCTGCCAGCCATCTTGCGCAAATCGTCACTCCACCTGGCCTGTTTTTATATTGTTCGAAATGGTTCCATTTATATTTCATGTAGATCTGATGATGAGTTTCGTAGGTAGACAACGAAACTCTTCAAAAAATGACAGCAAATTGTGCAATTTTGTACGTCTGGACAATTCTAGATATTATCGAATTCCTACCATAATTTGTGGAGTGGTATGACACCGCGAATAAAGCGCATGTGTTTGTTTGTAACAAGTTCTTTGTTTTAAAATAAATTCACTGAAGATCCAACACCCCCTCCCCGATTCTGGGTGGAGGCACTTAAAGATTGGCAAAACTCTCGTGTCTCTTAAGTTGCAGGTGTCTATGGGCACCGGTAGTCACTTACCATCAGGTGACACATCTGCTCGTTTGCCGCCAATCCATACTAATATTATAAATGAGAAAGTGTGTCTGTCTGTTACCTCTTCACGCTTAAACCGCTGCAGCGATTTTGATGAAATTTCGTATAAATTAAGTTTGAGTTTAGGGAAAGGACATAGGATGGTTTTTATGCCAGAAATCGTTTGTATGGGGAATCAATAACCGCTGAACCCATTTTGATGAAATTTTGTATGGAGACAGTTCGATTCTTGAGGAAGAACATAGGCTTTACCGCGATAACCGACATACACGCGGGCAAAAGCTAGTTTAATTATGTTTTTCTTTCAACAGCACTTGTAGCATCGGCAGCGGCTGCGCCTGCGCCGCAGTTTGGTCCATGTCCGTGCCCTCCACCGCCGTGTCCGTGCGAGTCCCCCTGCCCCCCGCCGCCCTGTCAGCCCCCATCACAATGCCCTTGTGATCCTTGCGGTCTACCACCCAGTAAGTACCTATCTTAAAATATATTTTTTTACTATCTACTAGCATATTTTATTTTTCAATAGTACGTATTCTTCTTTAAACTCGACATCAAGACATTAGAGGAGAGGACAAAGGTAGTAAAGGTAAAAATTTCAAGAAGAATTTCATTCAGACATTTTAAGTATATTAAAAGAGTTGAGAGAAGTCACTGCAAAGAGAAGGAAAACTTGACACAAACCCTATACCAACCCGTCTGGCCAGCGTGGTATAGTAAGCCAAAACCGCCTTTCTAAGGAGAGGCCTGTGTCCAGCAGTGGACTATTAAAGGCTGTTGATGATGATGATGATGCACACGATGTATTGATGGCAGTACTAGAGATGTTACTTGTTTGATTGAAACGTCAGTAGACAATGGTATTGATTGACAAAGTTTATTCTGCCGCTTAATAGATGGCGTTGAGATCGATTAAAATCACGGTATAGTTTTTTAGCGGAGAGCGGTCTCAAAGTAAGTAAGTAAGTAAGGTCTCAAGAGTAAAAATAGTTGTATAACTAGGGTGTAAATCACCCTGAACTTTCTCCACTCATCAACAGAAATACAGTTTTAGACTAGGGGTATTGTTTAATTCTTTCAGCCCAATGCGGAGATGGTCCCGTAAAGATCCTGATCCAGAAGAACTGCGTTCCTGAGCGCTTGAGAGCTGCTGGCTTCCAAGAGATCCCAGTCCCTGGAGGCACATTCTACATCAGCCCATCCCCAGACGTCATCATTCAGCCTCCACCAATTCTGGTGCGTCCACCACAGCAGGCTCCGATTACGCCTCCAGCAATGACGGTGCAACCACCACCACTTCCACCTGTGACTCCAAGACCAATTGTTGTTAGCCCACCCCCCCTTGCTCCTATAACTCCACCCCCGGTACTCGCCAGACCCGCACCGTTGTGCCCAATCCAACCACCACCAGTTGTGGTTAGAGTGCCAAAACCTGACCCGATCCAACCAGCGCCAATCAGCGTAACCCAACCACGCCCCGCACCTCTGACCCCGCCACAGATCGTTGTAAGACAGCCAAGACCTCAATACCTTCAGCCACCAACGATCTGCGTTTCGACTACATCGCTCTCATCCCAGAGTAATACTGGTTCTGGGGCAGGTGCTTCACAAGCAGGAGGTTCATCATTGAATTCAAACGTACAGAATCCTTGCGGCTGCCAATCCCCTCCACCTAGCCCATGTAATTCACCTTGCCCTGGTGAGTCATCTGGCCCTGCCTCTGACCCATGTTCTTGCCCTTGCCCCTTCGAGCAACCCTCGCCATGTCAAATGTCGAACTAACTTGAGACTTATTACGGAAGACCCAAATTAATCTCCCACAAAAGTATGAATCAAAATTGTCGGTAATGGGGTGTCTACAATATGGGGGTAAAGTAAAGAGTGCAAGATTAACGCCATCTAGCGCACAGAGAATTACCAGTTTCCTTTGTGTCCCCCAACAGGCAATGCCCCTATATAAGATAACTTACCCCCAATATGGTTCAATTTTGCACAATAAACTTGTTGGAAATGGTATGCAAGGTTATAAGCATAGAAGAATACATGACTGAGCATGCGTAACTTATATAGAAAGAAAGAAGAAGAGAAGAGAAGAGAATACCGACTTGCCACCTTTACGTCAAGTATTGTAGGGTATGAGGAGGAAAAAAAACGGCGAAGATACTAATGACATCTAGCGGTTGACAGCGGAATCTTTACATTGTTCAATGAAAACTAACGACATCTAGTGATAAGAACAAGAACTAAAGTTAATTGAGCCTTAACATCATTGCTTTCAAAGCGATTTTAGCCTTGTTGACTAGCAGCTGTCTTCGCCTTAATCCGTATATAGAGAAATTTGGGTCTTTTTATAAGTTTAAGAATATTTTAGTTTTAAAAAGATCTCTTTAAAAATAATAACGATGACAACAGCATGACTATGGAAAAAGATAAAAATAGTGTTAAATTGCCCGTACTTAGTATTAAGATTGTGTTGAAAGACTTACAAATGCGTATTATCCAGTATTTTATATATGTAACCATTATATTATATGCAATATATAAATACAAATGTACAAGAAACTTTTTTGTTTTATTTAATATAACATAGTATGTCGCTGAAAACTTTCAACTTGAATTTTCCGAGGTTTTCAACAGTTAGCATGATTTACAACTAATTTACACCGAACCTTGACAAATTAAAAACCTTCTTCATTACTTAATCTATTAGTGAAAATTGTTATAATCGACGAGGGCAGGTGGGACGGACTTACAGCCGGGCGGCCGCTCTGTCCCCCTCATTTTAGATCTCCGATATATTCTGAGGTATTTAATTCTATGATATGCTGTAAAAGGTAATTTTGATCTAGATAACCAGCCTGTTGCTCTAGTGGATGGTTACCCTGACTGCAAAGCTAGAGATCGTGGGTTCGATTCCCACCCAGGACAAAGACAAATAATTGTGTGATGAGCACGATCATTTGTTCTATGTCTGATTGTAGTTCACACTGATACTATAATTTATTAATAGTATGTATTTATTTAGAAATGTTTGAGTATGTTTATCAGCAGTCTGGTTAGGGATCAACGCATGGTATTCTACACCTGCGCTGCAACGTATTTATTCCACAATGGATGTGTTCTATTTTTATTTTATTTACAAACGTAGAAACAACAAAATATTCTGAACATCTCCCTTGATTGTACTGAGAAATAGTGATTGGCAATTTTTTATGCGGGAGGAAAAAGACTTTTTGTTAAATGAATACGACTTTTTAAACTTTTTTAGATTAAGTGAAGCTAGCTTTGAGAATTTCTTTTACTCCCTTGTTTAATGTGGCATGTCCCAAAAAATATATATGTTTATTTCGTTCTCAACAACTTCAAATTTCACGAAGCACTACTCACATTTTGATCAATAAAAAATCACATTTGACAAAATATCTCCACCTTCATGCGTATAAGATTCAGCTAATTCAGGAGCTCACACCAGCATACCATGGAAAGCGCCGACAATTCCTTCAATGGGTAATGGAGCAAAGTGAAATCGATGCAATTGTTCGAAAAAAGTCATCTTCTCCGATGAAGCGCATTTCTATCGGAAGGGCTACGTGATTACACAAAATTGTCGAATTTGGGGCTCAGAAAATCCTCATACAATTCAGAAGACAAATGCACCCACAACGAGCAACTGTCTGGTGCGGATTTTGGTCAGGCGTCGTGATTGGGCCTTACTTTTTTGAAGATGAGGCTGAATTAGCAGTGACTGTGAACGGCATTCGTTACAGGATTATGATGACGGAGTTCTTGTGGCCTCAACTGGACGGCATTGATCTGGACAACATGTAGTTTCAGCAGGACAGCGCCACCTACCACTCCGCCCATAAAACAATCGACTTATTGCAGCAACGATTTCCAGAACACATTATCTTATGAAATTCTGATGTCAACTGGCCACCAAGATCGTGCGACTTAACGCCGTGCGATTTTTTTCTTTGAGGTTTAGTGAAATCTTGGGTTATGCAAATAAACCAGAAAAAAATCCTGAGCTCGAATCAACGCGTCATCGGTGAGATACAGCCACATCTCTGTATAAAAGACATGTCAAATTTCATAAAAAGAGTAATGGCCTGTCATCAGAGCCATACTTTATCGAAACATGTCTTCTTTACAATCCAATTTTCATAAAATACGTGTTTTTATTTTAAAATGAAAAAGTGCACTCTTTCTGAGACACCTTTTACATATAAATCTTCCTCTTTAATCACTCTATGTTTTTAAAATGAGGGTTTTCTGAAATGTTCCACGTGAGATGGCAGCACTGTAGCGTCAGGTTCAACCACCTGTCAAAACACATACACGATTTGTATTTTTCGATAATTTTTTTGGTTTATTCATTCTTAAAAACGTTACAAAAGGAATACTGATTTCTAAAATTCCACAGTATTGTGCAGTGCCTATGTGTGCAAATAAAACTTTAGTGCCTCTCTTTTTGAGCTCAATCTTCAATTCAACAACCTTTCTCTGGCCGTAATCTATAATAAACTCAATAACACTTCCAAATTCATAGAATTTCACTAAATAATTATACGTTCGGTAAGAATCTGTGCTATCTGACAGCTGTTTGGACCGAAGCGCCGTCTGGTGGCAGAAAAAGTATCGAAGACCCTCATTACCGCGTAATTCCTTTCTATGTGAGTTGTGTAGAGTAGGAATTCTGTCAAAGCTTGCAGCAAACGTGTATGTCCTCGGTTTGAGTTTCAGTTTCGACTAATTGGCATAACAAAAGAGACACCTTGTATGGAATATCTTACTTCATTTTCAAAGAAAACATGGTAAATAAGGGTGTTTTTAGTTTGAAGGAATGCTGACACTGAATCCTACAGCTTTTAGAACTAGAAGTAAGTAAAGTAACAAAACGGCGTGAGGATTGTATGGACGGTTGGAACGAAGTTTCTTTCACTTTTTGGTAGACGTTTGCAATACAGTCATTATAATTTAAATTATAAAACATAGAGTTAAATTGAAAAAAATTGATAAAATAGATTTATTACTAGCTGAGACCCGCGTTTGTTGTTATAACCGCGGGCAACGCCGCGGGGCGAAGCTAGTCTAAAAAAAGTAGCCTAAGTTACTCCTGATGTCATCAGCTATTTGCCAGTGAAAGTCCCGTCGAAATCGGTCCAGCCTTTCCAGAGATTACCCGGAACAAACAGACAGATTGTAAAAAATGATATTTTGGCATATGTACCGTGTAAACATACAAACCCTTGAAAACTTGACACAATCCCTCTACCAACCCGTCTGGCCAGCGTGGTATAGTAGGCCAAAACCTCCTTTCTAAGGAGAGGCTTATGTCCAGCAGTGGACTATTAAAGGCTGTTGATGATGATGATGAAACCCACATATGCATTTAGTAAAAATCGGTTATTTTAATATTACAAACAGACACTCCAATTTTATTTATTTGTATAGATGTATGAAATAAATAATGCTAAATGAAACACTGAATTATCTGGGATAATTAAGATAATAACAAATATAAATTTAGGATCTGTATTCTTATCTTAAATAAACATTAGTTGTTTATATTTATATAGTAAATCAACATCATCATCAACAGCCTATGACAGTCCACTGCTGGACATAGGCCTCTGCTTAGAAAGGAGATTTTGGCCTACTCTACCACGCTGGCCAGACGGGTTGGTATAGGATTTGTTTCTAGTTTTCCTTCTCTTTGCAGTGCTGTTGTTTGCTCCCTCAGTCGGCTCTTACGACACCCACGGGATGAATAGCGGTGCTGACACTCCATAGTCTTAATCCGTCAAAACACGGACAGCACTTTGGCATATTTTAATTCACCCATTCCTTGTGCACTAACACCGCTCAACGCTCTCTTGCACTCAAACCCAGACTGTGACTTGTTTGCAGAAGGAAGTCAGACGGTTATGTCAGTATTTCTGGGAGACTTTGAGAAATCTGTGTTTTAGAAGTGTAGTTTTTATATTATACAAGCCTTTCCCGCGGCTCGGCCTGCGTAAATGTCGGTTATCAGGGTAAATGGTAGCCTATGTCTGTCCTCAAGAATCAGAGTATCTCCAGTCAAATATATGATCACATCACATTACATCAACAGCCTTTAATTGTAAACTGCTGGACATAGGCCTCTCCTTAGAAAAGAAGTTTTGGCCTACGTGCTGCGTGGTTTTCTCCCTTAGTCTACTCCTCGACACCCACGGGCGGAGACCACGGACAACAATATATAATAATGAGTTTTATTCCTTACTTAAGAAAATAAAGTTTTTTGAGATTTTTGACATTTCTTACACAAACTTCCACCCCGCTTTTCACCCCCTAAGCGGAGGAAAAATTGGTCAAAAATGCATTAACATTATTTATTTCCAACGAAAACTTAAGAAATAACAGTCTTAGTCTTATTTTATTGATTCCCCACACAAACTTTCACCCTACTTTTCACCCCTTAAAGGATGATACCTGGGATAAAAACTATAATACGTCCTTTTCCCGGGACTTTTTAACTCAATTGTTTCAGCTGTTTAAACGTGAAAAGGTATATTATAGAGATGCCACGAATAATCATTTGGCCGACTACTGAATAGCGAATATTCGGCAAGTCTCTTGACCGCAGCGCTGAATATTCGGCAAGTCTCTTGGCCGCAGTGCCGAATATTCAGCAAGTGTCTTGGCCGCAGCGCCGAATATTCAGCAAGTCTCTTGGCCGCATCGCCGAATATTCGGCAACATTAATACCTTTTGCGGGCTTAAACATGAATCAGTAAAATGGTCAGCAAATGCAAAACAGTAGCCTAACATAACAGAATTTGCTGAAGCAGTATATATTGTGAGCGCCTTTTCCGAAGCAGGAATAATTTATAAAAACAGTGCGATCGCTTCCTATCAACACATGCTGAAAAAAATGTTATAATTGTTAATATGATAAGTTATGATAAAATAAAAATCTTTATGAGTAATATTATTCTTTTTCGTGATTTACTATTCGGTGTTTGGGTATATATAATAGTTCGGAATATTCGGCCGAATACCGAATAGTGGAAAAATGGCCGAATACCGAATACTTGCCGAATATTCGTGGCGTCTCTAGTATATAATAGACACACAGGCAGACGGACAGATCTTTATTTAATATTAGTATGGGTTAACGTTTTATTTAGCGTTAGTGTAAGTGACCAAGGGACGTTCTGATTAAAAATAAATTATAAAAATCTTTAACAGAATTCCCACCTGAGAGGGAGAAGCTCAATGCTTTTTTATCCACTAGGTTTTGGTCGGTTTGAAGTCCACTACGATACAGATGAACTAAGATTTTTTACGAGGCACGTCTGCCATCAGTCCTTCACAACCCAAGTACTAAGTGATAGCAAAATTCTGTAGAAAGATTTGGACGTTTTTTCATATTCTGTTAAAAACAAGATAGATAGAAAATGTTTTATTTGAACATTGTGGTTTTAAATGGATATATAAATGCCTACATTAAAGAAAGGGACCTAAAGGGGGACCCAATTGGTCGTATACCACCTAAGCCTTAAAAAAATTAACCTTCTTATTGAAAGTTTTGGTTGATAGAGAGACAAAAGTATCCTGGAGTGTTACACACACATCCATAGGGATGGAAATGCTTTAAAGACAGGACTTGTGGTATGTCCTTAATAACCAGACTTCGTTCTTGGAGATGTGGAGGAACGGTTGATGGTGAGAACTTTAATTGCACGATTTAGGATTAGTAATTACTTCGTAGTTCAGTGGGTCTTCGTTAGATGACACTGTAGTATGTTCCTGTTTTGTTGTATGTGTAAGACGCCACAAGTTTTTAATTGATTTTATAATAAATGCGATTATTCCATAAAATTGACAAATTCATCATGAAGTGGTAAATTATAAGATCTGGCCATGATATTGAAAAGTTTGATTGTACGATACAGAATTAAACTTTATCATGTAATTCGGCGCGTCGTCGCTAGATGGCGGTGAAGTCAATATTGCTGTGGGTCAATGTTGCTAGTTATATGTTTAAGCTACTTTAATGTTATGTTTTTCTTAAATGGAACTAATTAACTTATCATGCTATAAATAACTTTACTTTATAAAATCAAAACCATTGCCATCTCAACTGTACCGTTAAATAAATAAAGTTTTAAATTTTAAAATTGTTAAATCTACCATTTAATAATATTTATTTGAGTGTGACAATACATTTGGGAACGCAATTTTTCGAATTACAACCTTTTGTTCCTTGTAGTAAGATTAATTTTTAATAAAAGTTATCAGTTTAAAAATTTTGAGTATTTAAGCGAATGAATTTGCTGAAAGTTCATCAGACGATCGAAAAATGGCGAAAGGCAAAGTCATATGGATAACGGGTGAGTATATATTAATATGTTATCTGTGGCGTTTCTAATAACTTACTTAAAAAAAGAGTTATTATAAATTGTAATATAAATCCTTTAAAAAAATAATTGAACCGACTTCAAACAATACTAACAAAGTGGATTTGCTGTCATCTTTTGAAGAGTTCCGTTGTCTGTCTCCGAAACTCATCATCAGATCTACATGACATATAAATGGGACGTTTCTGAATTAAACTCCTTTCGAACAAAAAATAATTTTGTAAAACCCTCCATAAATGACAGACCTATGCTCGAACATCATCATCATCTACAGCCTTTACTAGTCCACTGCTGGAGAAAGGAGGTTTTGACCAACTATACCAAGCTGGCCAGACTCTCTTTGCAGCGCTATTGTCCTGCGTAGTTTGTTCCCTTAGTCGGTTCTTAAGACACCCACGGGATGAATAGGGGTGGTGATACTGTATTCTTAATCCTTCACCACACCATGCCCGAACATACATAAAAAAACATAAACAACCGACTTGATAACTTCTACCTTTTTGAAGTCCATTAAATATGTATCATCCCAAGTAATTTACCACTCTTAGAGGCGGTTTATTTTTCATATTTAAATTAATCACCCTTAAATATAACCAGATCAATGAAAAAACTAATTTCACTGTAGGAGAGAAAAGCCTTAGCACAAATGGGGTCGATCGGCTTGATACTAGGGCTTCACAGTAAACTGATGCTTAAAACTTTAGACTGGACGGATGGCGTAGTGGTTTAGGCGGTCGCATCACACTTTCTACTGTTGTTCGATCCGCACATAGGACATCACTTTGTGTGATACACGACACGGGATATATTTTTTTTTAATCCGGGTGAGCAAAGTTGCCTAAGTCCTAAACTCCCAACTTCATAGTTCTGGGAGGGCTCAAAGAGTCCATTTGTGCCAAATCAAGGCTCTCCTAATAATATACCATCAAATATTCTGTGACCTATAGACCGTATCTTTAAAGTGCCCGTCGACGGCAATAAGCTTGCCCCCCCCCACTATGAAAATTTCGACCTCTGCCCATGTGTTAAAAAATTCCAGTATGAAACTAAACAATATCTTGATTTTAAATCGATGAGCACCATCTATCGAAATAAAAACGAACTACAACGTACACTTGAACGTAACTTATATACTTATGTGCAACCAAATCGTTATTAACGAGTAAGTCGGAGCTGACACACACACACATTTTTTTAATTTCAGTTTTAGTCCTGGGCACCGCCTTGGGTCAGCCAGTCCCGGAGACCGAGTCCCAGTTTCCATGTGGCGATCCCTGCGCGCCTCAGCCATGTGATCCTAGTGACCCATGCAATGGCGGTCCTGGCTCCATCCAGATTGGACCTTGCAACCCATGCGAGCCTCCGATCAATTATGTGTATGGACAGGCACCGGCAGGTAAGAGTCTAGATTATTCTAGAAGTATTGAACTTATTAAAGAAGGTGAGTGGCAGCGGATGGATGCGGATTACCATAGACCGAGCTGGTTGTCGCTCTAAGAAGGTCCTTGTTTAGCAGTGGACGACGATAGGCCGATAAAATGAGAGATAGAACTGATTACAACAGTTGATTACAAAACTGTGGCCAAAAAAAAGGAGTATAGTCATATATACCGACTGCACGGATGGCGTTGTGGTTTAAGCGGTCGCCACGCCGCTTCCTACTACGCCGAGTGTTGTGGGTTCAAACCTCACATGGGACGACATTTTGTGTGATCCATAAATTGTCGTTCTGAGTCTGGGTGTTCTTTGTGTCCGTTTCATGTATGTTTGTAAAGTCCCCCGTGACACAGGATATATTCCTAATGCGGGAGTTGTCTTTTTAAAGGGAAAAAAATTGATAGAGGTAGATAGATACAAAATACTTATGCTATGGATGACAGAGCGTGTCTTTCTTCCTAATTTAAATATGAGTCCAGGTCAAATTAATGTCAGAACATAATTTTTAACAGCTGCTTATGAAAATAAATGCAAGAGTTGTAATTCTCATAGGAAAATCCAAGCTGAAATTGACACTATTAGTTTTTTCAATAGGCTGTTAGCACCATTACAAATCCTAGATTGCGTAAATTCAGATAAAACCCCATTAACCAAAAACCTTTACTTTCAGGTTCCATCCTGATCAGGCCAGGGCAAATCAGGTTCCCAACACCACCTCCCATCGTGGTGCGCCCAGGTCAGATCCAATTACCGCAGCCACCTCCGATCTGGGTGAAACCTGCGCGCGTACAGCCCCCGACCCCTGACCCTATTACTGTTAGGCCTCCACCAGTACAGCCGCCGACTCCGCCACCGTTCTACGTCCGTGTGCCACCGGTAACCCCACCAACTCCGCCCCCAATTTGCGTGAGACCACCACCAGTTTGCGTGCAAAGACCACCACCGATGAGGGTAAGATCATTTCTCCTTAAATGTTCTACACACGAGGGGTTATCTACGAGCCATAGATGGCCCGGGGTCCGTCGAGGTACCAGGGATTTCTATCTAGGGTTCACCTGGTGCCCCATCTACTGGTACCCAAGACGGCGTGCAGTTTCTAGTCAGTTCGAGTCTGACATAACCACTCCACCGGTAGTCCGGAATTTTCACATAGAAATAAAGGGGTACTGAAGACTGATCATAACCTCAATCAGCCCGTATAAAATTGCCATGTCAGCAAATTAATCAAAGTAGAGAAGAGACAAATTTGTGGAAGACATAACTTCAAACTATAATAATCTTTCCAGGTACAACCACCGCCAGTTCAACCACCAATCCCAGAAGCTCTGGTCATCCGCCCACCCAAGATCATTGTGCCAGCGCCACCCACCATCTGCTTCAGGCCTAACCCACCACAGGCCTTCAGAACCCTTGGCTGTGGCAGCATCTGCCGTTCGACCGGCCCGGTAGACCCTTGTCCCCCACCAGTACCTCAACCGTGCCCCTGTTCGTGCGACCCTCCAGCCCCTAACTCCTGCCCCTGCCAAATGCAAGAATCATGCCCCCCGCCCCCATGTTGCCTCTAAATACTTAGTAGGAAAATATATAAATATATATTATGTGTAACTAATATGCATTTGTAAGTAAAAGAGTGATTTTAATACAGTACGGGTAATATATGCAATATTATTATAGTTATATTGTTTAATTTCCCCCCTTTTTTAGGGGTCCTGTACCTTAAAAGGAAAAAAAACGGAACCCTTATGGGATTGTTTTCTTGTCCATCTGTTTGTCTATTCGTTTGATAGTCAAGACCATTTATCTCGGAAACAAGTTCAGATATCGAGTTGAAATTAAAACCATATACTCAGTTCAACCGTCCCTTGAAACTGTCATACATAGGCCTCTCCTTAGAAAGGAGGATTTGGCTTACTATACCACGCTGGCCAGACAGGTTGGTATAGGCCTATAGGGTTTGTGTCAAGTTTTCCTTCTCTCTGCAGTGCTGTTGTTCTGCCTAGTTTTCTCCCTTAGTCGGCTCTTACGACACCCACGGGATGAATAGGCTGCTGTCAAAAAAGCTGTCAAAAAATCACACTTCTAAGTTAACGTATAAAAATTTTGCATGGCAGAACAGACCATGTACCATATTTTTGCAATTAACCTCCGACGCGTCGCCGTCACAACAGTTGTGACACCAAATTTTTAAGCGGTAGCGTCTCTATCACAACATTTAGAAGAATATATATCAGGGATTCCAAATATGTTTATTTCATTGAATATAATTATAAAATAACGTAGATATTGAGGTAATAATGACTTCGCTCAGCTGTGACTGGATCACTAGTTCAAGGGCGCGACAGTAACGGGTCATAGGTCATCCGCGCGCCGCGACGTCCTAAGAGTTAAAGTATCATTTCATTTCAAAAAAGATACGGACGTTTATGCCGCAAAAAAAAACCATATTTCGACACATATTCGTTGCTTTTTCTCATGTTCTTTTCTCTTCTCATTCTGTGTGAGACAGTATTGCTAACTTTTTTTTTTATTGGAACGAAGTTCCTTATCGCGCGTTGTGAAAGGGCTACACAAGAAAAAAATCTCACGAAAAGTTGTAACGACACTTTCTATGTCAGTCATTCAGCGCCATCTATCGAATAGATAGGAAATCATTTCTCAAGGAGATTTTACCAATACATAAATTGTTTTAATTAGAAACCAACTGAAAAATATGTAGGTAATAGCCGCTTTCATAGATGGCGTTGTAATTAAAATCGTGTCGAATCAGTTTTACTCGATCGTCACAACTTCGTTCCTATCGGGTGTCCCACGACACCACACGGCTTTTGTCCACTTTATAATTCTCAACCAAAGGGTAGTGCACCTCCACACTCATTTCCACACCACCCTAAGGTAGACTGGTAGAGAATGCCTATGGCATTAAGTCCGCCATTGTACTTATGTGCACAAAGTTATTAAATAAATAAATAAAATATTCGTATAGGGTTGACCCGGTGACCTAGAACTATAAAATTTGGCAAGTAACATCATCTCATACTACAAGTACAGGGAAAAATCAAAAAACCATACATTTGTAATTAAATCATTCATCACGGAACCCTCGGTGGCGAGTCCGACTCACACTTGTCCGGATTTTTCAACTGTTTAGTAAAGTTTTGAAGTTAACCGTGGGAGAGTCGTGATTCGGTACAAATGGACCGGCTTCACCAGAGTGATTCCACAGCCTTACAAAAAAATAGTGTAATTTAGTTCTTTCGATGTTTTTATCTACCCGTTTACCCCAAATTACATGAAAAAAAGAGGAGTATCATTCTGCACCTAATCTGATTCAACTGTTAATATTAAGGATTTGTAATAGATATGATTTTTTTTATAAACGCGATACAGAAGTTATTAAATAGTTCAGCTTATTTAATATAGATGGCGCTGAGCTCATGTATATCTCGATAACAGCATATTTTTTAAGGGAGAGAATTATCTAGTGGCCTTAAACTAATATACATATATCAAATTTTCTTTGATGCATATGCTACCAAATGACTGAATTACAAGGTTTTTAGTAACCGGTAAGATAAAAGAAACAATACAGCGTACAACGTAATACATGATTGTCATAGCGTCGTATGACGTCACAAGTCGTGTTTTCATACAAGTGTTGTATAGAATGTACCGATTTGACGAGTTTAGAGTTTGAATTGTAAGTGTGTAAACGCCCTTTGAGTCTCAGTTTTTTTTCCGTGCGGAAATCCCCTCGGATACCACCTATCGGTGGCATGTCGAACACGAACCGACTAAAACCGCACGCCGTCTCGGGTACTAATAGCCGGGGAACCAGGTTCCCTTTGAGTCCCCTCAGAATTAGGAAGAGAGGGGTTACCTCACCCATTCTATGAAAATTTACAAAAAAAAAACAAAAAAAGTAAAACATACAATATTTATTAGCCAATCAAATATATAAATATATACAAAAACAGAATAACATTTAGAACAATTTTATTGTTGTTGTTTATAAATTTAGAACATTTTTTTTTCAATCCAGGCATATTGTTCAAATAATTTTTGAAACATATAAAACAAACAATTGATATTGACTTAAAAATACTGCGAGATCATTCAAATTTTACATAATTCAAGTATAATTTGCAAATTCACAAAAATATGGAATTAATTTGTTAAATAACAATTATTCAGAAAATTGTGACAATTAATGATGTTCCTATTAGGAAAATTCAAATTTCTGGGCATTTTGCAATATACTCGTAGATAGATCCCATAGCATTGCAATTCTTTTGAAATTGCAGAAATATGCAGACTATATTGCAGCATCTGACGTATATCCCCATAATAGGAATTTTCCCAGGAATGGGAATAAAAGGTCCGAATATACCTGAAGTTTTTTTTTAATATGCTGTCTACACTATTGTTAATTTGTGATAGCTATCAAAATGTCCGTTACTAGAGTTTATTGCCAATGGGTGAAACACGGTGTTAATAAAAAGGGCGTCCCAAAAGACCAATACCCATATTAGGAGCGGACTCACAAAGGGTGGTAGCGCCACCAAGACCACTCAAGCCAATACCTCCCATACCACCTAGAGCTCCCAAACCACCAAGACCGTATCCCATACCACCAAAACCTAGATTCGGAGTACTTTCACAGACTGTTGTCGCCCCAATTCCACCAAGACCGTAACCACCTAGACCACCCATTCCTAATCCTCCCATTCCTAAGCCTCCCATTCCTAAGCCTCCCATTCCTAAGCCACCCATTCCTAAGCCACCCATTCCCAAACCTAGGCCTCCAAGACCCATTCCCACATTTGGAACTGATTCACAAACAGCTGTTGCTCCAAGGCCACCGAGACCACCGAGACCACCTAGGCCAAGTCCGCCAAGGCCGCCTAATCCCATCATACCTATGCCGCCTAGACCACCTAGACCACCAAGACCGCCTAAACCTCCCAGGCCTCCTAATCCCATAAGACCTAATCCACCGAGTCCGCCCATTCCCATGCCCATGTTTGGTAACGTCTCACAGACAGATCCGACTCCAAGGCCACCGAGCCCCAATCCCCCCATGGGGAAACCACCTAGACCGCCAAGACCAAATCCTATATTTGGCGTAGTTTCACATACAGTGGCAGTGCCCATTGGCATACCAACATTTGGCACAGTCTCACATATGGATCCTACTCCACCGAGACCACCGAAGCCTAGGCTGCCTAGTCCTAGTCCACCAAGTCCATAACCGCCGATTCCCAGACCGCCTAAGCCGAGTCCCATGTTCGGTGTTGATTCACAGACTGTTGTAGCTCCCATTCCACCGAGGCCGCCATACCCGCCGAGTCCGCCTAAACCTAATCCTCCCAGGAAGTTAGGATTTGACTCGCATACAGTTGTAGAACCTAGACCCAATGGGTTGCATCGGGCTGCACACAGGAGAGCTAAAAATAAAATAAAATCTTAATTAAAATATATTATTACTGTTAAGTGCAAGGAGTTTCAATTTAATTCGAAGTTTTAAAATCGGTCAAAATTACGTTCGAAGATTCCGTTACATAAATAGATATCAAGCTAATAAAAGCGTTTTATAAAGTGGTTTCGTTCAGTTCGTGTGATGACGGATTAAGAATACGGATTGTCACCACCCCCAATCATCCCGTGGGTGTCGTAAGAGCCGACTAAGGGAGTAAACTACGCAGAACAATAGCACTGCAAAGAGAAGGAAAGCTTGACACAAAACCTTTACCAACCCGTCTCGCCAGCGTAATATAGTAGACCAAAACCTCCTTTCTAAGGAGTGGCCTATGTCCAGCGGTGGACTGTTAAAGGCTGTTGATGATTAAGGGGTTAACGATCCTTATTGCAAAATCAGAGGGTTGGTTTGAATCCCAACATTGTGTGATGAGCAAGATCTGAGAATTTGTTCTTTATCAGGATGTAAATTTTCTATATTAATAATTTCTTTTTTAATTTAAACTTGATGAGAAAATGGATGTTTTAGCTAAGGGTTCAAAATTAAGGAACGAAGAATACAGTTTATTATTGAATTAGAACACGGTGATACTTTTTTTTAAGTTAAAAAATTATTTACAAAATGACTTACCAGAGAAAACCAGAGCTATGAACGCCATTTTGAACTACAGACAGTCTGTGTCGAAAACTTAAAATTCCGGCCATTTTATACTAAAATTTAAATGATCCATGTTATAAGAACATCTTTCACGCATTTGTGCACTCACCAGAACAGATGTCATTCAAAAATATTATTTAAACACCAAACTGTCTTAATTGAAATATGTTTTTAAAATTTTCAGGATTTAATTAAAACATTTCATAAATATTATGATGGATTAGGAAGTATGGAGCTTGAGGCTAAATTGGAAACGAGTAGGTTAGCACATTACAAACGTCATGGCTACGTTAGTCTGTGGATGGGTGACCATTCTTAACACATCGAAACCCTTTCGTGCTTCGGAGAACACCTTATGCCGTCGGTATCGGTTGCCATAAATGATAAAAAAAATAGTTTTAAAAAACTAAAAAACACGCTTTTTATAGAATACCAAACTAAAAAATAGAAAATAAATTTGAAAAAAGCGTTGGGTGTCTGTTGTCAATAGTAAAAAGCACAAACTATTTTTTTTTATTAGTGTATTGTCATCGGTCCTCGATATATCTACAGAGTTTGAACGAATTCTGACCGTTTAAAGTCAATCAAAATCACGCCCAAAGGAGTCGGTTACAATCATACAAACATACATACATACATACAAGTGAAGCTAATATAAAGCGTGTAATGATATTTATTTCTGTGAGCAAATCTTATCAGATATTTTTACAAGTCGGACTTTACAGCTAGGAGCCGGCATTTCCTAAGACTTACTCTGGGAAGAAACGCCGAAACAAACCACAGAGGTGTCTTTTTTTTTAAGTCCGTAAACAAAGTTAAATAAAACTGTGCGAGTACAGTATTAGGGTATGACCTTTTGAAGAAAGGACCATAGTTTTGAGTCGGCCTGTCCATACAGACACATAGGAACATCTTTGGCAATCGTTACGGATAGTCAGAGCCCAAACAAGATAAATCTTTATTAAAAAGAAGTAGAAACGACTTCAAACAGTACTAATAAAGAGAACTATAAACCTAGGAGCAATCGCGGTTGATTTGCTGTCATTTTTTGAAGAGTTTCGTTGTCTGTCTTTTATTTATGAGATCTTTATGAAATTTAAATGAAACCATTTCGGAATAAACCTCTTTTGAACGTAGACGAATACGTAATGTCACCACCCCTATTCATCCCGTGGGTGTCGTAAAAGTCGACCAAGGGAGAAAACTACGCAAGACAACACTGCAACGAGCAGGAAAACTTGAAACAAACCCTATACCAACCCGTCTGGCCAGCATGGTATAGTATTCCAAAACCTCCTTTCTAAGGAGAGGCCTATGTCCAGCAGTGGACCATTATAGGCTGTTGATGTGATCTGTGTGTGACAGAAGAAATGATCGTGCTCATCACACAATTATTTACCCTGGGTGGGAATTGAACCCACGACCTCTGGAGTAGCAGTCAGGGTCACTAACCACTAGACCAAGAGGCCAGTCAATTGATAACCAACTCCAGCTCCACATAGTCTGACAACAGTTTATCTACAGAACTTCGATATCGCCTAGTACATGGGTTGTGGAGGTGCAGTCGCTCCACGTAAAATAGTTGAAGTTCAGCCGTGGTAAACTGAAAGCAGACCCTAACCTTGTTTGGTTAAAGGCTCCAAGGATGAAACAGCTATAATCCGTCAACGTCGTGCGCGACCGTCCTGCGGGAGGACAGACGGTGGCGGGGACGAGGTACTCAAGATGTCAGCGGGTAGCGGGTGGTGTAGCGGGGAAGGGAATCGTGTGTAGCCGTGTGCTAGAATGACGCGCTACCTCGCCCCCGCCACTGTCTGTCACCCCGCGGGACGGTCGCACACGAGATTGCCGGGTTATAGTATTGGCTATTTTTATACGAAACCAAAAGAAAATCTAAAGATTTTTCTGCCAACAGAACGATTTTTCAAAAAAATCTGTCGCTGCTATTGTAGAACTGTTATATATGTATTAAGTAATAATAATAATATTGTACCACATTAACACAACGCCATCTAGTCCCAAACTAAGCAGAGCTTGTATTATGGGTACTAGACAACTGATATAAATACATGTATACTTTTTTTTTGTAAATACATACCTATTATACATAGAAACACCCAGACCAAATCCAACATTAAATGTTCATGCACACAAATGTTTGACTAGAGCGGGAATCGAACACGCGACCTATGTTTGTTTGTTTTTTAAAAGACAACTCCCGCATTAGGAATATATCCTGTGTCGAGGGGGAATTTACAAACATACATGAACCGGACACAAAGAACACCCAGACTCAGAACAACAATTTGTGGATCACACAAAGTGTCGTTCCATTTGGGGTTTGAACCCACAACACTCGGCGTATTAGGAAGCGGCGTGGCGACCGCTTAAACCACTACGCCATCCTTTGGAATAGCAGTCCGTTACACAAACCTCTACGCCATTCGGTCATCAAAAGAATCCCAGAATAGATATAGAATAGAATCCCGGTAGAGTTTATTAAACAATGAAGTCTTGGTAAAGCCTTCGGAGTCATGTTTCGACACAAACTAATACCCAAGCCTCACAGAAAATCGTTTATCAGCCATTAATTAGTTGTTTTTTTTTAAACGTCTACTAGCAACCGAAGTAACCCCGCTAAGCTAAATTGCTTGTGTTAGGATTGAGTTCACGTCGATAACTACCTGGACCCCTCCTAAACTGGAAGCGCAAAGAGGGCACACCGTGTGGTTTTAGTCGGTTCGAGTCCGACACACCGCCCCGCCCAACGAGAGCCCCGGCGGGGTGACGGTCCGAGGGGGACGTAACAAAAAAAAAAAAAAGGATTGAGTTCACGTCGGTAGTATACTGGTCAGGATTTGAACCCACGACCTTTTGATCGCAAATCCAACGCCTTAACAACTAGGCTACCGCCGCTTGAATTTTTCACCAAATATGTGAGGTTACCCAATCCCAAATCCTCGCCTCTTGGAGGGAAGTCTCTAAGGGGGGCAACACATATGTGACTCTTTTAATTGAGTCCATGGGCGGCGTTAGTCACTTGGCCCGATTGCGTATTTGCCCCCTTCCTCAAAAAAAAAAACTTATTTCATAGAAGCTTACCGATTGTGTTTGTTGGTTAGCATACCTGTAAATAAATAATATTTGATTAGAATATTGACAATCAGAAGTATAGACTGTTACACGAGTTTGAAAATCATGATTGATTCAATATTTTGCCACTTACAAGGTCTGTACGTTTAAACTACTAGTACTAAAGTAGTCTGCACGTTTTCATTCAACAAAAACTTGACGAATGAGTTATCTTTTGTATAAACTTTATGTAATTTTAATAGTCAATTGCTGAAAATAGGCCTGTCTTTAGACAGGAGGTTTTGGCCTAAACCAGGCTGGTTAGACCAGGTATAGATTTTGTGTTAAGTTATCCTTCTCTTTGCAGAGCTGTTGTCCTGCGTAGTTTGCTCCCTTAGTCGGCTCTTACGACACCCACGGGATGATTGGGGGTGGTGACAATCCGTATTCTTAATCCGTCACCACACGAACAGAATTAAACCATTTTATAACACGCTTTTGTTATCTTGATATCTATTTATGTAACGGAATCTTCGATCGTAATGTTGACCGATTTTAAAACTTCGAATTAAATTGAAACTCCTTGCACTTAACAGTAACAATATATTTTAACTAATATTTTATTTTATTTTTAGCTCTCCTGTGTGCAGCCCGGTGCAACCCATTGGGTCTAAGTTCTACAACTGTATGCGAGTCAAATCCTAACTTCCTGGGAGGATTAGGTTTAGGCGGACTCGGCGGGTATGGCGGCCTCGGTGGAATGGGAGCTACAACAGTCTGTGGATCAACACCGAACATGGGACTCGGCTTAGGCGGTCTGGGAATCGGCGGTTATGGACTTGGTGGACTAGGACTAGGCAGCCTAGGCTTCGGTGGTCTCGGTGGAGTAGGATCCATATGTGAGACTGTGCCAAATGTGTGAACATTCCGTATACTTTATCCGTCACCACACGAACGGTAATTAGGGGGGATACTAATAATAATAACCTCACATAACTCACACACGGCCGTCAGATCCCAAACTAGACAGAGCCTGTACTATGGTAATCAGACTGCTGATAAACATACTTATATATTACTAAATACATACATATTATACATACATTACACCCAGACACAGAACAAATGATCGTGCTCATCACAAAATTATTTGTCCAGGTCTGGAATCGAACCCACGACCGCCGGCTTCGCAGTCAGAATCGTTTACCACTAAACCAACAGATCCATCAAAACTTTTGATATCTAACTCTGTCGACCCTTGAATAATATAATAGCGTAATTATATGTGTATCAAAAACGTCAGTATGTTTTGATTTTCAAATCTAAATTGTTATTTAATAAAATTCTTGATAGTCATACAAGCGTACAATTTTTTCTTAAGTCCATCGTCAGCCGGTAAAGGAATATGACCTTTATGTCACCTAGACAGAATTCTTTTTATAAATTTATTAAATGTATAATTAACTAGCTGACTCACGCAACTTCGTCTGCGTCTTTTAAAAGGATTTAATTTTCCCCGTTTTTGCAACATTCTTCATTGGTGCTCCGCTCCTATTGCTCTTAGCGTGATGATATATAGCCTATAGCCTTCCTCGATAAATGGGCTATCTAACACTGAAAGAATTTTTCAAATCGGACCAGTAGTTCCTGAGATTAGCGCGTTCAAACAAACAAACAAACAAACAAACAAACAAACTCTTCAGCTTTATAATATTAGTATAGATTATGTACTTAAAACTATTATATGTTTGATATTAAAAGCGTAGCTCTCTCCGATCAGACATGAAAACGGTTGGAATAATTATTAGAATTGTCATTTTCGGTAAGTTTTTATTCTTTCTATGCCATTGACTGCAATCAATCAATCAATCAATCAATCAGTTTATTTTCATTGCGAACATGGGTTTACAATTAGGTGTTACAGTTATAATATTTTTTTCTGCCACATTCTACCTTCAGGCATGCAATAAGATAACATTAATAACGAGTTGGGCTTATTTAATACATCATACGAGGTCAGAATTCTATTTTATGTCAATATCAATTAAAATAACAATTACAATTATATTATTAAAAAAATGAAAAATGTCATAATCATAATAAACAATGTATCACATTTATTAAAAAAGTGTATTAATAGAGGGTATGGTGTAGTTATTAAAAACATGCATTCTATTATATTTTCTCCGTTAAAAACTCAGTTACAGAATAGTATGCTTTCATTTCTAAAAATTCTTTTAACTTGCTCTTGAATGCACTTATGCTCAAGTTTTTCCATTGTTGCGGTAAATGGTTATAAATTACTGGAGCCATACAGAAAACACTTCTACGCATAAGCACAGTTTTTGCTTGGAGTAGGCGCAGTCTACTATTATCACGCCTGTTCCGTGTAACCGTATCCTCAAGCCGCGGAAATAAGCCTGGATTTGTTTTAACAAACATTGACATTTCCAAAATATAAATGCTTGGCAACGTCAATACTTTATACCTCTGAAAGTAAGTTTTACAGCTATGACAGCAGTAACAGTAACAGCAGTTTTACAGCTGCACGGATGATGTACTAGTTTAAGCACTTTAAGCGGTGGCCACGCCGCTTCCTACTACGCCGAGTGTTGTGGGTTCAATGGGACACCACTTTACCACACCACATGGGACGCCACTTTATGTGATCAACAAATTGTTGTTCTGGTGTTCTTTGTGTCCGTTTCATGCATGGTTGTAAAGTCCCCCGCGACACAGGATATATTACTAATGCGGATGTTGCCTTTTGGAACGAAGTTCCTTATCGCGCGTTGTGAAAGGGGGCTAGACGGAAAAAATTCATACGAAAATTGGTCACGACACTTTTTGCTATAGTAAGCTATTGTAAGCTGTGCGGCGTCGCATGTTTCTCTGTCTGTCTCTCTCTCTCTTATAGAAAGCAAGCCAGATATTTTCATTTCTATCTTTTTATGTCAGTCATTCAGCGCCATCTATCGAATAGATAGGAAATCATTTCTCAAGGAGATTTTACCAATGTGTAAATTGTTTTAATTAGAAACCAACTGAAAAATATGTAGGTAATAGCCGCTTTCATAGATGGCGTTGTAATTAAAATGTGCCGAATCAGTTTTACTCGATCGTTACAACTTCGTTCCTATCGGGTGTCCCACGACACCACACGGCTTTTTTTTTTTAAAGATTAGCCTTTGTCTTCCCCTTCAGGGATAGAGACGTGAGTGTTTGTGTGTATATCATACAGAAAAAAAATACTGTTTCTGAGAGATAATTAAATAAGATTTAAGACACCTGACACATCTCTCACAAGGCCGTCTGATCCCAAACTAGACAGAGCCTTTTTTTTTTTTTTTTACGTGTGGAAATCCCCTCGGACCGTCACCCCGCCGGGGCTCTCGTTCGGCGGGGCGGTGTGTCGGACTCGAACCGACTAAAACCACACGGTGTGCCCTCTTTGCGCTTCCAGTTTAGGAGGGGTCCAGGTAGTTATCGCCTTCTGGACCCCTCCCAGCGCCGGCCCGCTCCTGATGCGGGCTCCGTCTCAGTGGACCCTCTCTTTAGGCGACGTTCGGCACACGCGGACGCCGCCCCCTCGCGGCTGGCCAACTAATGCGGGTGGAGGGGAGAACCCATCCCGTCCACCCGCGGCCACACTCAGGGCGGCATGAGGCGCAGGTAAACTAGACAGAGCCTGTACTATGGTAACCAGACTGCTGATAAACATACTTATATATTACTAAATACATACATATCATAGATAAATTACACCCAAACACAGAACAAATTATCGTGCACATCACACAATTATTTGTCCTGAATAAGAATCGAACCTGCGACCCTTGGCTTAGCAGTCAGTTCATTAATCACTAAACCAATAGACCACTCAATAGGCTTGGCTTTTATTGACTATTGACCTCCTCGGTTCGAAACCCGGATCGGACCAAATGTTTATATGATCTGTAAATATTTGTTTCCCAATAGGGAATATGCACGTGGCACCAAAATAGACAAAATAGTTTTATTTGTAATTTTTATTGCAAAAAAAGATACCCATACAATTATTTTTGAATTTTTTTATAATTTAATAGTGAAATTTAATCATCAAAAATTGGCTTTTATAAGATTCCCTCGCAAATTTCTAAAACGCAACGCTATTGGTTGAATAAAACGTGACGTCAACCTACACTGTCAAGAGTGTCAACAAGTTGTGTCTATTTGTAATATTTGGTTTCTGGTGATTATTTGTTTCATTTTAAGTTAATAACTAATACGTTTTCAGTGTTAAATTATTAAATTCCCGTGTAGAAAGACTCAACACAATGACTGAATATACTTTGTCAGGTGCAGATATTATTTGGGCACAAAGGAACGGCACAATATTTATAATAAGTTTTTATTGGCTTTTCCATGGTAATAAGTTAATTTTTATCACTCACTTTTTAACTTTCACAAACTTTGTGAACTTCACTCCGTTGTTGACACCGAATTCGTCTGAAAGTGTAATCTGACATCACAAAAAAAGCGCGCCAAAATGGACGTGTTCAAATTGCCCCAAAATGATAGTGATTTTAATAAAAAATTTTTTGCTTAACGGTTTATGTTTCGGATGTGTTATATTTATTTTTGGTAATGTAATAACGAGTAGAATCGTTTAAAAAAATAAAAAAAATACATGCATATTCCCTATTTTCTATGTATAATATGTATGTATTTACAAAACAGTATACAAGTATTCTATCAGTCAATCTAGCAGTCATAGTCATAGTACAAGCTCTGCTTAGTTTGAAACTAGATGGCGTTGTGTGTCAGATATCCGAAATATTATTATTATATATATGTATTTATGTATGCATCTGAAATAATATTTGATATATCTCCAGGTCTTCTCCTGCCATCAGTAATGCTGCTGCCAAGTCTCGGGATTGGCTTCAACACAGATCGCCACGAGATGCTTATCAAATACAATCTGACTCCAAGGATTCCTCTATTATTCACCAAAACTGTGTTAGAAGATGATACTCAGTAAATCCACAGTTTTTTATAAATTTGTGTTTTAATTCCTGAAGCTGTTCAACCTCGTAGATGCTTTTAAAAAAACCTTTTTAATGGTATAAGGGGGCAAACGAGCAAACAACAACAGCCTTTAATAGTAAATTGTTGGACAGGGGCCTCTCTTTAAAAAAGAGGTTTTGGCCTACTATACCATGCTGGTCATGCCTTCTCTTTGCAGTGCCGTTATCCTGCGTAGTTTGTTCTTACGACACCCACGGGATGAGTAGGGGCGGTGACACTACGTCTTCTTTCTAAGAAGAGGTTTATGTCCAACTAATAAAGGCTGATCATGATGAAGATATAGTTTTAAAAAAAGCAATGATACGCTACGTTCATTATCATCAGCAACAGCCTCTATTAGTTCATATGCTGGACATAGACCTCTCCTTAGAAAGGAGGTTTTGGCCTACTATACCACGATGACCAGACGGGGTGACATATGGTCTGTAAGATACGCTACGTAGGTAATCTCTTTTCATCCAGTGACCCGTCTGCTTTGTTTTGCATCTGTACCATTTTTAGAAGAATTTATTACCATATCATTATAGTTATACACAACCCAACCGAATTTGTTGCTCTCAAATCTGTATTTATAAAAAAAAAAATAGTTTAAAAAACTAATAAACACGCTTCTATAGAAAACCAAACTAAAAAATTGAAAATAAATTTGAAAAAAGCGTTGGGTGCCTGTTGTCAGTAGTAAAAAGCACTAAAACCACTCTATTTTTTAGTTTGGTTTTCTATAGAAAGCGTGTTTTTTAGTTTTTTGAACTATATTTTTTTTTTTAAATTAGTGTATTGTCATCGGTCCTCGATATATCTACAAAGTTTGAACGAATTCTGACCGTTTAAAGTCAGTCAAAATCACGCCCAAAGGAGTCGGTACAAACATACAAACAAACATACAAATGAAGCTAATATAAAGCGTGTAAAAAAGTAACAGTAGCAGGACAACAGCACTGCAAAGAGAAGGAAAACTTAAAACAAACCCTATACCAACCCGTCTGGCCAGCGTGGTATAGTAGGCCAAAACCTCCTTTCTAAGGAGAGGCCTATGTCCAGCAGTGGACTAGTATAGGCTGTTGATGTGATGATGATGATGATGAAAAAAGTAACTGACAGACTGATTCAAGATTCACTGACATTTAAGTGTTTAACGTGAGCAATCATCCGTGAGACTCCGAAGTCAGCGATGTGTCTCTGTGTTACCATTATAATTTACCTTTTAATTAAATACTATTGGAACGAAGTTCCTTCTCGCGCGTTGTGAAAGGAGGCTAGACGGAAAAAATCTCACGAAAAGTTGTAACGACACTTTTATGTCAGTCATTCAGCGCCATCTATCGAATAGATAGGAAATCATTACTTTTCATCTCAGTATTTATTTTGAATCGAATAGATAGGAAATCATTTCTCAAGGAGATTTTACCAATGTATAAATTGTTTTAATTAGAAACCAACTGAAAAATATGTAGGTAATAGCCGCTTTCATAGATGGCGTTGTAATTAAAATCGTGTCGAATCAGTTTTACTCGATCGTCACAACTTCGTTCCTATCGGGTGTCCCACGACACCACACGGCTTTTTTACTGTAATCATTTATTTAATTCATTACTAAGCATGTATCTCTATATCTATAAAAGAAGGAACTGATAGCGTGATTCACTGACTGCTCGATCAACGTACAGCTAAAACCGCTGGGTCTAGAAATATGAAATTTTACACAAATGTTCCTTAGGTGACGTAGGTGTGCACTAAGATAGGACTTTTAAAAAATCTACCCCTAAGAGCGCAAAATGGGGGTTGGAAATTTATTTGAAACTTCGTTAATTTTGGTAGTAGCGTTTTAAAACTCACAGTAGATACTCTTTATTAAAAGTATTAAAAAACGTTGTAACTAATGATTTAACGATACCTCTAGAAAGTTCGTATGGGAACAATTTTTTTAAACTCCTTAGATAATTACTACGATGTCAAATGTCGATCACATCGCGGACGAATCAATGCGGAATTGTGTCTGTCTGTTTGTCGGTGTTTCTGTCTGTCAGTCTGTTAACTCTTCACGGTTAAACCGCTGAACGGATTTAGTTGAAATTTAGTATAGAGATAATCCGAGTTCCGGGCAAGGACATAGGGTAGTTTTAATCCTAGATATCCAACTTTTAGGTGGTGAAGAGGGGGGTGGAAGTTTATATGGGGAATCAAAAATCGATGAACCGATTTAGGTGAAATTTGGCATGTAGATACTTTGATTCTTGAGGCAATATAGACTATTTTTTACCGCCATAACCGACATTTACGCGGGCGGAGCCGCGGCAAAAGTTAGTAATACGTAAATGTTAAGTTGGTTTGTGTACGCTTCAAAACCTCAAAAAGATCACAAACGATTGTGCTCTAACTTTGACACAATATTCAACCCGCCTTAAAGATTGTTTTTATTTATTTTTTAACCCCCGACGCAAAAACGACGGGGTGTTATAAGTTTGACGTGTGTGTGTGTGTGTGTGTGTCGAACGGATGAACCGATCTTGATTTTGTTTTCTTTTGTTTGAAAGGTGAATTAGTCGAGAGTGTTCTTAGCTATGTTCGATAAAAATCGGTCCAAGATGGCCGCCGCCACAAAATGGCGGCTTATATATTTTTAGCCGCAGAACTGACAACCGTTGGGGAAAACGAGTTCTTGAGTGGAGACCGCGTCTCGGCAAACGTAGTGAAGGACGCCCACAGGCCAGGTGGAGTGATGATTTGCGCAAGATGGCTGGCAGGAGCTGGATGGGAGAAGCCCAAAATCGATTCAAGTGACGTGCATAGGGAGAGGCCTATGTCCATGTTATTTTTTCACAACTCTTTCAATATGAAAGAGTTTGACTAGTAGAATACTACACTACTACAAAGATGTGTGTCGGTTTTTTTTTAATTTTTAATTTCATTTTTTAAGTCGGTCTGTCTGTTTGTTCCGGGTAATCTTCGAAACGGCTTGACCGAACCGATAATATTTTACTACCAGGCAGCTGTCTATATAAGGAGTAACTTAGGCTATTCCTCTTAAAAAAACCTTAAAAATAATTGCCCGGTCCGAGAATCGAACTACTAAGGCAGCGCTTTTTAAATACCAGATCGTATTTCATAAAATTCAACATAAAAATATTTCAAACGCACTATCCAAAGTTGATTTTTAATTTGCATTGTACCATAACTATTATTTCATCAATATCAAAGCATTATTTTAAACATTAATTTACTTATTATGATTTTAATTATTTCATGTATAAATTTCATTTCAGCTTGATCGGTCGGCGAATATAAATTATATTTTTGTATATAAATTAATTTGTATTGCACTTTATTCATTATTTTGTATTTGGTTATGGAATAAGGTACATTAAGATGGCCGTGTTGAAAGCTGTTATTATTTTGTTATTATTTGGTAAGTTTTGTACAATTTTTTTTCTTAGTAGTTCCTCAGGGATTTAGTTCCAAGGGCACAACTAGTTCCCCGGCTACCGGCTATATTGGTACCCGAGAGGGAGTATGGTTTCTGGTTGGTTCGAGTCACACAGAAAATCGGGGGCAAACGAGTAGCCCTGATGGTAAGCGATAACCACCGCCCATGGACACATACAACTCATTGCCTGCCTGTTGCCTGTTGGTGTAGTGCTTAGTGACCCTGACTGCCATGCCAGAGATTATGAGTTCAATTCCCACCCAAGACAATTATATTTGTGTGATTATCACAACTCTGTTCTGTGTCTGGGTGTAATTTATCTAAAATATGTATTGTATTTACAGATATATATAAATATGTTTTTTTTAAGTACAACTTCGTTACGCACTCTTAACTTGGGGAGTAAGCTGGTGAATGCGGAACGAGAGCGTTACGAAAAATGTGATCAGGCGAGGTGAACGGAAGTTGAGAGGGAGATATAAGTTAGTGAAGATAGAAAGAGAGAGAGAGAGTTACGTTTTGTATATTACTGTAGGGGCAAGAGAGAAAGGTGTAAGCACACATTTTCTTCCTCTCTTTCTCTCATAGCCAAGAAGTTTTACTTTAGTCGTGTGGTCTAAAGCACACTCTTTTTTTTTCCTAACATCTAGCTAGCTTTTACTATGAAAGCTAGATTGACTGCTAGAATACTTCAATACTTTTTTGTAAATACATACACATCAGAAAAAACACCGAAACAAATATTCACAGATCATACAAACATATGGTCCAACCCGGGCAACGAACCTCTTGGGTTCGATGCCCGGGTTGGACGCCTCAGCACAGCACTCGCATACGCTACTTACTGCACCACAAGGCAGTTTATCAGCAGTCTGGTTACCACAGTACAGGCTCTGCCTAGTTTAAGACCAGACGGCCGTGTGTGAGATGTCACATCACATCATCACATCAACAGCCTTTAACAGTCCACTGCTGGACATAGGCCTCTCCTTAGAAAGGAGGTTTTGGCCTACTATACCACGCTGGCCAGACGGGTTGGTATAGGGTTTGTGTCAAGTTCTCTATCTGGGATCATCAGGGGGACCAATCTACCGGTGATTAGGGCTCCAGAGACAGAAATCTCCACACAACACGTGTCTTATCAATAAAATTCTTTTAAAAAAAGTTGAACCGACTTCAAACAATACTAACAAAGAGCACTAAAAACCTAGCAGCAATCGCGGTTGATTTGCTGTCATTTTTTGAAGAGTTCCGTTGTCTGTCTCCGAAACTCATCATCAGATCTATATGAAATTTAAATAGGACCATTTCAGAATAAACCCCTTTCGAACAAAAAAATAATTTCGAAAATCCGTCTGTATATGACGGAGTTATGGCCGAACATACATAAAATATATATATATTCATTCGAATTGATAACCTCCCCCTTTTTTGAAGTCAGTTAAAAGTACTCCTTGTTACAGGTCCTACAATAATCAGTGGAAAAGCACTTGAATATTTTACACCTGTGTCTTACCAGGAAACGAACCCGTGCGGGACGGAGTGGAACTACGATACCTCAGCCTACAGTGTGGCTGTACAATGTTCTGGTAAGTTTTTATTTATCGCTGGGCCCATCCATCCCCATTACTTAGGTAATTGGCACTCCACCGCTGTGTACTTTTCAAGAAACTTTTTGCCTCGTATAACAATCTGTGTAACAAGTTCTCGTCTGCGGTATTTCCGGACGGATACGACCTTCGGATGTTCAAGAAAAGAGCGTACTTCTTTCTCAAAGGCCGGCAATGCGATTGTGACTCCTGAGCTGCAGACGTTTATCAGGTGACCCCTTGTTTACCCTCTCTTTCGTAAAAAATATGGGCCTTTATCCTAGGCCCCTCCTAGGCAGGGAGAAGCCACTGGCTTTCCCTGAGATGGGACCTAGCTAGGTGCGGCGTCGATCTGGAGGACCTGAAATCACATGGCCCGGGTTCTCCCCAGAGCAGGGCGCTTAAGGCTGGCCGTCGGAGTGGTTTTTAGTGGAATCACCACATACTCCTGGCTCCTATATCCCCAAGGAGCCGGCGATCCGAAGGGATTTTCCACTTTATTAATGCCGAAATTTTGCTATTGTCTTTGATTCTTGACTTTAGTCCGACTAGACTATCGCCTTTTACTGAGTACTTTAGGGGTTCGAACGGAATCTATACTAATATTATAAAGCTGAAGAGTTTGTTTGTTTGTTTGTTTGAACGCCCTAATCTCAGGAACTACTGGTCCGATTTAAAAAATTCTTTCAGTGTTAGATAGCCCATTTATCGAGGAAGGCTATAGGCTATATATCATCACGCTAAGACCAATAGGAGCGAAGCACCAATGAAGAATGTTTCAAAAACGGAGAAAATTTATTACTATTGAGAGACGCAGACGAAGTTGCGCGGGTCAGCTAGTTATATATATATACGGTGTAAGGAACGTCATCACCGAATACTGAAATAGTGTATTCAGACCATCATTCTGAGTCGAAAATGATTGGAATTTTCTGCCGGAATATTAGACTTTTTATGCAATCAGATGTCAAAGATTAAGTTCATACACCGTAGGTATCGCACTAAAGTTAATAACTATATATGTATTCCATGCAAACAGTCTACGCAGACTAACACAAAATGGCGGCCGGAGTGGAGGCCCCGTGCGCTTTCGTTGTTTGATGAATTACATTACCCTTTTTTTATATTTATCAAATTGTTTTTGGTAAAATGTTCTATCTACTTATTGTGATATTTAATTTTTACCAGAAAAATGAAAGAAAATGATGATGATGGCAGAAAATTCCAATGGTTTTCGACTCAGAACTATGGTCTGAATACACTATTTCAATATTCGGTGATGATGATGTATATATATGCCTGTGACCTGTAACCTGTGGCCTGTGACCTGTGCCTATGATAGGCCTGTTAGTCTAGTGGTTAGTGACCCTGACTGCTAAGCCAGAGGTCGTGGGTTCAATTCCCACCCAGGACAAATATTGTGTGATGAGTTGAATTATCTTTGGTAATTTGTAGACATAAATCCAACCCTTACTCTCTTACCAGTGACAGTTCCATTGAACTGACGATTACAGATAAATATGTCACCATCATCAGCCTATAACAGTCCACTGCTGGACATATGCCACTCCTTAAAAAGGAGGTTTTGGCCTACTATACCACGCTGGCCAGACGGGTTGGTATAGGGTTTGTTTCAAGTTTTCCTTCTCTTTGCAATGCTGTCGTCCTGTATAGTTTGCTCCCTTAGTCGACTCTTACGAAACCCACGGGATGAATAGGGGTGGTGACACTCCGTATTCTTCATCCGTCACCACACGGAACACACAAATATGTGATACCGTTACAAATAAAGTTTTTTTTTGACAGAAACGAAGAAACCTACACCAGACCCATGTATACCCTCCTATGCGAAGAAAGTGGAGAAAGGTAAACCCTACAACATTTTTTTAGGGTATGTGGTAGCAAACGGGCAGACTTTTACTATGGACACCTACAACTTATAAGTCGCAAGTGCTTTGACCCCTCCCCCATAAACAGGAGAAGGACGGGTAGGGCTTGGACTCTTGTAACCTCAAATCAGTAAAAATAAACGATAAAACTGCTTAAAACCGGGTTCTGTGAGGTCATGGTATTACTCCTGTCGAGCCAGCAGTTTTTAAGATACTTAATCCATACAAATAAATAAAATTGAAATGTCTGTTTGTAATGTCAAAATAATAGGTATTTTTCATGCCCACACGATTATTTGCAAGATAAAAATGCAAGCCAATGCAAAAATCACTTTTTTTAATCTGTTTGTTCCGGGTAATCTTCTAAAAGGCTGGACCGATTTTAATTATATTTTACTACCAGGTAGCTGTCTATATAAGGAGTAACTTAGGCTATTTTTCCTCTCAGACAAACCCTATAAAATTTTGCCCGGTTCGGGAATCAAATTAAATTCGCGGGCACCAGCTAGTATAATAATATATTCTACCACATTCACACAACGCCATCTAGTCCCAAAATAAGCAAAGCTTGTACTATGGGTCCTAGACAACTGATATATATACTTTTTTCTGTAAATACATACATATTATACACTAGCTGAGACCCGCGGTGTTACCCGCGTTTGTTATTATAACCGCGAGCAACGCCGCGGGGCGAAGCTAGTCTAAAAAAGTAGCCTAAGTTACTCCTTATGTCATCAACTATATGCCAGTAAAAGTCCCGTCGAAATCGGTCCAGCCGTTCCAGAGATTACCGGGAACAAACAGACAGACAGACAGACAAAAATTGTAAAAAATGATATTTTGGCATATGTACCGTGTAAACATACATGTGCATTTAGTAAAAAGCGGTTATTTTAATATTACAAACAGACACTCCAATTTTATTTATTTGTATAGAATAGATAGAAACCAAACCAAATCAAACATTAAATGTTCATGCACACAAATGTTTGGCTTGAACGTGAATCGAGCCCGCGATATATCGCGTAGCAGTCCATTACAGAAACCACGCGGCCATTTGGCTGTTGTCAACACTTCGGTTTAAACATATTTTAATAAATAATTTAATACGAGTTTAAATATTTCTTTTTCAACAGAATACATGCCAAAACAGAACCGTCTGTCTCCTCCAACTGAACCTTGTTCCTGTGAAGTATGCTGCAATCAAAACTGTGAGCCATACGCCAAGCCATATTTTAAGCCACAGTATAAACCATCCCGTCAGCGATGTCGTCGACCTCTCTATGACCAATGGGGGGACTCACTCTGTCAACAGTCTCTCTGTCCACGAATAAAGAAGAAGAAAGAAGAATTGGATCCTTGTTCTAAGTTGTTGTCGAATATTCTACAATTACCCATTGTATTAGTAGATGGGATTATTGGACAGTAGGTGGCTGGTGATTGGGAAGTATTGGACAAAGATCGTTACTGATTTGTAGGAAATAAATAATTAATTACATACGGAACCTTTTAATTTTTAACCGACTTTAATGGAAAGAAGATGTTCTAAATTTAGATTTATTCTATTTAGGGTTCCGTACCTCAAAAGGTAAAAAAGAAACTCTTATAAGATCACTTTCTTGTCCGTCTGTCCGTGTGTCACCACCGATTTTCTCAGGAACGGGTAGACCTTGCTAGTTGAAATTTATACCAGATACTGAGGTTTATCGTCCCTATTAGGTGTATTAAAATCAAGGTCCTGAGAAAAGATATGGGCAAATTTCGATTTTCGCGAAAACTTGTAAGTACCAAAATTTACCTTAATTTTCAACTTTTTTTATTTTTCTGAATTTTCTCTTTACTTGTGCTGTAAGATCTTGCTTTTAACCAAAAGTGACAAGTCTAGGTCAACCGGAAGTACCTATAGGTTTTGGGTCGAAAACCTAAATGATACTTCCCGTTGACCTAGAATCACGAAATTTGGCAAAAAGAAACTTACAGCACAAATAAAGGAATAATTTCAAAAAATAAAAAAGTTAAAAATAAAGATCAATTTTGGTACTCACAAATTTTCGCGAAAATCAACGTAAAATCTGGGTAGGTACGGCACCCTCGCCGCACGAGTTCGACTCGTACCTGACCGGTTTTTTCCTGTTTGTTAGCTCGAAACTCCGTTATTTATGAACAGAAAATTATTATTTTTATTTTACTTTACGTTCGGTCCTATACAATCAAATTTGAAGAAAAAAAATACTACCTCTAATGGTGTAAAAAACTAAGCAGGACAACAGCACTGCAGGAAGAAGGAAAACTTGACACAAACCCTTTACCAACCCGTCTGGCCAGCGTGGTATAGTAGGCCAAAACCTCCTTTCTCAGGAGAGGCTTATGTCCAGCAGTGGACTATTAAAGGCTGTTGATGATGATGATGATGATGATGATGATGAATGGTGTAAAATGTAGGAACACTTTTAGTCGGTAATAATGTTTTAAAAGTTAATTATTCCTTTTACAGTCTATTTCTTTTAACAAGAATCAAACTATTTCAAGTTCTATTCTATGTATTTTTAGTTCGACTAGTTACAAAAGCTTGTTTTTTCGTTATTTTTGACGTGACAACGTCTTATAATTCGATGGAGCCGGCTGCACGCACGAAAAAACATGACTCATGCGGCGTTACCTTGCTCTGAGGCGTTCCATTTAAGGCGTGAAGTGCAAGCGAGAGCGCGGAACGAGTGACAAACAGGCACAATCGGCCTCCGCGTTCGGCAGCGTTCGACATCGGTCTCTCTCCTACTTGAGTGAGCGATGCGTCCGCGTGGACAGCTGCTACTCGTATACAATAATACATTTTTGAAAAATGCAACCATTCCATCAGTATTTTCTTATGACGTTGTCACGTTCAACTATCGTCAGTAAACCGACTTTACAGACAACCGATTTTTTAAGTTATAAGTGATTCCTAAACTAGGTTGGGGTCGGTTTTAACACGGCTGAAATTCGTTTTTTTACGCTGAGCGATTGCCATCCGACATTCACAACCCAAGCACTAGGCAATATCGAAGTTCTGTAGAAAAACTCGTTGGACTTTATAGAATTCCAACTACCCGTAACGGTACACAGATGTTTGGTAACTGAGTTACTGTGTTAAGAATGGTCACCCATCCATAGACTGACCTGGCTAGGGTTGCTTAACTTTGCAATATGGTAACCTACTCTGTTACCACTTATCCACTCCAAGTTAGTGTATCAAAATATTTATGCATAATCGTGTTGTAATTGAGCCAGGATTAATCACAAATGGTTTTGACACAAAGAACACCCAGACTCAAGACAACAATTTGTCCTCCCATGTGGGGATCGGACCCACAGCACTCGGCGTAGTAGTGAGCGGCGTGGCGTCCGTTTAAACCACTAACGCCATCCGTGCAGTCAATTAGTGTGTTATACTACGACCGTTGTTACGCAATTCTCTTGATGTTTTCATTGAGTAAGTGAATTTTCCAAAAGCCCAATCTCTCTGCCCCAATTTGCTATTCTTACCTTTTGAGTGTAGGTATCTGACAATACACTCAAAAGGTGATGACGCAATAGTGTTTGTTTAACGGACTTAAAAAAGGAGGAGGTTATCAATTCGGATGCTTTTTTAAGCTATTGCATAGCTATTATTTTATTTTTTTGCTATATCGCGGGCTTTGAGCGTGGAGACCGAATTCAGAAATTCCGTAACGAAAATAACCTAACATTCCGACCGGCACAGCGATGATACCTTTTTAGTTTTGCCATCTATCGATGAATAGCAGAACTCTTATTAATGTAATAACATCCACATACAATACCCCCCCCCCTCACCAAAAAAATTATAATTGCATTGGTTCCCTTCAAAATACCTCCCCCTCTCACCCCTCAACTTTTTTCATTTATCCCCCCTTTGATTTTCTCAGTTTCTGGAGGACCCCCCCATGTTTGGGTTCGTCTGAACCGAGAAAAGGAGACGAACAATCTGGTCCCTATAGATTTTTAGCTGATACCCGCGACTTTGTTTGCGTGGAATTTGAAAACGCTGCCTTAGTGGGTTCGATTCCCGAGCCGGGCAAAATTCTATGGGCTTTTCCTGAGATAATTATTTAATACTAGCTGGTACCCGCGACTTCGTTCGAGTGGTATAGAAATAACTTGAATTAATATCAAAGAAAAACAATAAAAATAAACAAATAAAAAATTATAATTGCATAAGTTGATAAAAAATGCTATGCAATAGCTTTACCGCGGCAGTTCCCGAGTGTCTTTTTTTTTATGTATGATCGGTCATAACTTCCTCATATATAGACGGCTTTGCAAACTTCTTTTTTGTTCCAGAGGAGTTTATTCCGAAATGGTCCCTGTACAAATTCGGTACAAAATACCCAGACCCCAGAGATACTTCAAATGAAAGACAGTACCTCAGAGCGAGATAAATTTATTTAATACCAGTGCACATTTGTGTACCACCGAGTAACAAAACCATATCGCGATTTAATAATATAATAAAACGCCATCTATCGAGCATTCAAGAAACTAAATTAAAATATACACAAATTAACCTGAACAAACTGAACAGTCCCATTTAAATTTCATATAGATCTGATGATGAGTTTCGGAGACAGACAACGGAACTCATCAAGAAATGACAGCATATCACCCGCGATTGCTGCTAGGTTTTTAGTGCTCTTTTGTTAGTATTGTTTGAAGTCGGTTCAACTTTTTTTTTTAAAAGAATTTATCCCGTCTTCATTGAGTTGCAAGTGTCCACGGGTGGCGGTATTGACTTTCCATCAGAGCCCGTATTCCGCTATTTTAATATTGTATCGATGGACTGGCGTCGGAATACATAATAATATAATATTTTCACACATCTCACACACGAACCCAAACTAAGCAGAGTCTGTACTATGGTAACTAGACTGCTGATAAACATACTTATATATTTCTAAGTACACACACATTATAGGTAGATAAATTACAGCCAGAGACAGGAACAAATGACCGTGATCATCACACAATAATTTGTCCTGGGTGGGAATCGAACCCTGGCGTACCAGTCAGGGTCACTAACCACTAGTGATGTGCCGAGTCGCTGTTTCTGTGGATCGAATCGACTCGAGTCGGTTTATACGGTATTCGAATCATGACTCGATTCCGCGATTCGAGCCCAGTACCCGAGTTCTATGTTCTGAGTCTAGAAATTCGAGTCCAGAACTCTAGTCTGGAAATTCGATCTAGAACTTGAGTCTAGAAATTCGGGTCCAGAACTCTTCTCCCCTGGGATAGGCTCTTCTCCCCTGGTATAGGGCCTGATTAGGCATGGTGTCAATTTGAAGAGGACCTGAAATAACATGGTCCGGGTCCTCCCCAAAGTAGGACACCTGAGGCCGGCCGTCGAGGTGGTTTTTAGTGAAATGACCACATACTCCTGGCTCATAGTCCCCGAGGAGCAGGAGATCCGAAGGGATTTTCCACCCCAACAACAAAAAAAAAAGGCGTCACATCATTGCTTATGTAAACAGATATCGAGTACGAGCGAGTCAACCTAACTTGTATGCTAGATTCGAGTCACATGGAATCGCTAAACAGAATCGAGTCAGCGAGTACAATTCGATTGTTCCTGACTCAAGTGCCGAAATCGAGTCCGGCGTACTCGAATCAAAATAAATTGGTATTCGAATAAGCGAGTCTAAAGCAGGAATCAAGTCTGACTCGAGTCAAGCCCTACTCGGCACATCGCTACTAACCACCAGACCAACAAGCCAGTCAATAGAATAGAATACGAGTAGTTTTGAACTTTTCGTATTCTACTAACTATAAATGACCAATGGATGTTTTGTCAATATTACAAATGTCATCGATAACTGTGGAATAGTTTAGTAAACGGTATTTTACATTTTTTTTGTTAACTGGGTATAAAATCCTCATTGATGTCCTTCGCCCAATAGGGGAGAGCGAAGGGGTCTCTCGGCGGACTCTTAAAGACTAAAAACCACCCCGGTATTCCTCTAATTACCATTAGCCGGGGGAGCGAGAATCGCAATTGCATTCTTCCGCCACGAAAACTGTATTCTACTAAATATTTGACAGGTGTTTCAATGACGTCAAGTGAACTGCCATCAAGCACACGTGACCCGCCCGCTCGTTCCCTATGCTATAAAAACACATATCATGATTTAAAGTTGATATTTAATTTGCATTATCCGTAACTATTATTAGATTATAATCAAAGCATTATTTAAAAACATTAATATTAAAAAAGTATCAGCACATTCAATTTTACTTTTCATTTAGATTCGGTAATTCGAATATTTTAATTTGTTTTAAGAAATTAATCATTTTAAATTAATTTATAATAACTTATGTGAATAGAAATAATGAAAATGGTAATTTTGAATGTAATAATTATTGTATTATTATCTGGTG